ATATTTGGTCGTATAGCACGTCTGGCGCACAAAGGCCTATAATGTAGGATATCGTATCATGACCATCAGGTTCCATCGCAAATTGGTTTATTGAGATTGCAACCGCGATGTGGATTAAAAAAGATTTCTTCCACTTAACACCTATTTCATTAATTCAATATATTAACTATAAATAATATACAAAAATAAATTAAGATAATTAGTTACATATTTATGTAAATAAAGCAATTGCAGTCTAGAAACCATTTTTGTAAGTTTGTACATATGTTTTTATGTTAACAGTTAATGAAAAATAGATTATACAACCGATTTCTGGACGAAATCTTACCCAAGAAGCCGCTCTAATATATGATAGAATTATTTTAATTAATGTGGAATTGTGAGTGTCTTTAAATGGTACAGTAATGACTAAATTGAAATCAGTTCCAGTGTCCAAGCTCGCATATCACTGTAACGACCACTCAATACTGTATTCTAGATTCAATTTATACTGACCACAGGGCATTTTCTCTTTTAGGTTCAAACAACGTGGCTCGCATCTTAAAGGAGGCGTTTATTTTGTAATTGAGCGCAAATAAACTTGGTAACTTCGACGTCCTGTAAGAAAGCTGTTAATGTCGATAAATGAGACTATGTTTTTATTTGGAATGTAACATGGTTTTAACTAATTTAATTAGTATGAATTTACATAAATAATATAACTTGTTTATACCTTTGCTTTAAAATAAGAAAAATAAACGCAATTATTGAGCTTCATATTATATTAAACGATAAGTTAATTCTAAAAAATTGTTTAGTTTTGTAATCACTGATTTGTTTAAAGGAAATTGTTAGGCTTTTTTTAATAATAAAAATAGATTTTATATATGGACAAAGATGCGGGATAATCATATTAAGTAATATGACTGAAGCTTTACAGATTTAAGACTCCTTTATACTCCTGCGACAAATATCAAAATGAGAATGCGTCTTTCTTGTCATTATAATATTATCATTGTCGGACCATTAAACTGTCGCGTGAAAGTTATAGTGTATTTAAAGATTTATTATACAAGGTATCCAGAACAAGAATAACATATACCACATTTATCCTGATATAAGCACAAAAGCTTTTTCGTGTCAAATCCATAGAGCTATATGAACAATAATATTATATAAATGAACTTGCAATCGGAAATATATATAGTTATATGAGTATTATTTTTGATAACTTTGGTTAATTTCATTCCATATGACTGTGTCTGCTTTTATTTTTAAGTCAATAGTGTATTACTGAAATAAATTAATTACTCGTAAACTAAATTTATATAGCATAATATTGTTATATATTTAAGATATTCAATTTGATAAACACCAACTACTTAGTGGTAAAAGGAACTTCATCTACTGAAACAAAATAAAGAACTAGTTTTTGCTCGCGACCTCGTCCGCCTTAATTTTGGAATCAGTAGTATATGTAACTCTATTCCTCCCTTGAGGCCGTAAATAATCAGGTTATTGGAATGTTTTTTCTTATAATTTTCTATCGAATTGAATTAAATATTCTATGTCCGTTTCCTGGTTCTAAGCTTTCCCCCCACCAATTTTCAACCATATCTCTCAGTTACAAATAGAGTGACTGACGCGACTTTCTTTTATATAAAAAAAAGATAAACAACAATTTAAACAATAGAGAACGCATTTTTATTAATGAGTTGAAAAAGATTCCAAAAATTAAAAACAGAATTTCAGACTGTCTACAATATTACGAATTGAACAATATAACAAAATCTGGCAATCAAAAATAGGCCTTTTCATCTCTCCTGCCCACACACGGTTACTACAAAGTTATCGAAACGTCTGAAAAAATGTGAAATAAAAATCGAGAAGTCAACTCAAAAATCATAGTTTTATTTATTTGGTTCAAATCAGTCGAACCTAATTTAATTCTTTGACAAATTAATTATTATTTACTCCTTACAGATCATGGTCCTAATAATTTGAGCCCTAAACATAAGAAAGAAGAAATAAGAAAAAGAATAATATAAGAAATTATATATTTCATAAGAGTTTTTTTATGTAATAGTTATTAACCGATATGATTTCTAATAAAAAGGATAGTATTTCCAGCACCTGCCATTTCCGCTTGACTAATATCAAACTTGTTTCAATACTAACAGTCGTGCCAAGCTTACTGAAGCATTAAATGTAGCCAGCATAAAAAGCTATATCTTATATTAAGCGTTTCCTATATGCTATTAAATATTGTACAAGCACATTTAAAAGAAACCCACTATTTAAGTAATAGTTATATTTATATTGACGTCTTTATTTTAGGATAAAACTGAACTAATGTTGTATAGATTCGTTGAAAATGTAAGCAATGAACGAAAAATTAAATCGATTTATTTTAAAGTTATTTTTTGTTAAACGTACAATGGAATTTAGATTCTATAAATTTGCGACTGTAAACTGTTTAAAGATCATAAAGTAATATAAAATTTGTAAATGATTGAATCAAATAAGCATTCATTTCTGAAATACAACATTTAACCTCATAAGTCATAACTTTACAGCAAAAGCTGTACTCTATCCTTTCTCATAGTATTCGACGAGGCAAATAAATAAAGCCTTCGGTCTTATACCGATAGCGAATTCAATTCTAGCGTTCACACTAACGAATGAGAATAGTGTTTCTATAGACTCTCTACTCGTATTTTAATACAAGAATTTCAGCTCCAACGCTTAATAGGAGTTTATTTTAAACGTATATACTGACAGTATTGACGTTCGCTAATATATTATCTATCAAATGATTAATTATCATTACACCTAATAGTTAATATACAATATAAAAATACTCGAAACTATTCGATCATAGTTTTTTTTTGTTAACACGTCATTCGAATCGTGTGGTCCACGAAAATTTCCATTGGACTTTTTTAGTGACTAATTTGACAATTTATGGAAATAGGCAGCATTACCCGGCCACAGAAAGCAATTTTATGCTTCACTTGATCTGCATTTGTACTATAAGAAAACGATCAGCTTAAAAACTTAATTCAACAAAAAATACAAATAGACAGTCATCCACACTAGCGTCAATATAGGTAATTTACATACCTTTAAGTGTCCTATTTAATAATTATATATAAATTATTCCAGTTGGAATAAAGTTTAAAAAAATAAATAATAACTATTTAAACATCAAGACTAGCGGCGTAATAATTTTAATGAGTACGAATAAAGTTTTCGCTGCAAAACAATAAAAACCTATATACAATAATTACATAGTTCCACTAAAATAGCTATGGCTTCAGGTGAGGAACATTTTAAAGTATACAGCTCGATCGTAAGTCAAATTAGTGCTAGACGATATAATCTATAGCTATTCGAAAAGCATTTATGACATGATATGTTTATTAAATTGTCGCGGATTTAAGAGGATTCAACTTGATTACATGTTTGACATAATTATCTTAATGGTCAATAAGAATACGTTCAGGTATTTAAATAGCGGATAATTAATGAGAACCATTATTTTTAAATCGTATTCAAAACGATGCGATCTATTTTCGTGCTTTCACGAACATTTGTTTGAACAAAGAGCAAATAATGTTACTCAATGAGCTTGTACAAACTTATGTATGGTCGTTTGAGTAAATATTCTTGAATATTAAGATAATGAGGAAACTTATGAAAGCATCTTTAACTGTACTTTCGTACTATTTATCTAAATGACAAGGTGAAAATATTTTCAATGAAAATATAGAACACTCATAGAAATGCGTATCAAACTAAAGTCTTAAATAACTTTAATAGATACTAGCATATACAATAATGGTTTAATATAAATTCCTTCGACATCTTATTATCCTATTCAAAGAATAATTAAATCAACTAAGATAGTTCAGACTATAATTTATCTCAGTTTATATGAAACCAATCCTTAATGAGTTAATAACGCATGAAATGATCTTTAGCAAACAGTAGTTTAAATTTGCTATAAATTTATTAATGAGATACGTTTTTAATATTGGTTTTATTATGGTATTAGCTTCAACTTAATAATGAGAAAGAAAATTGCTTCATCGTTTTTATAATTTAAATATATAGATACTTTTTTCAATAACCTCTTTTATTATAACTGGTAAGCAACTAATAATAACGTCTTCATAAAAGTCTATCCTCAGAAAGACAGTAACAACGTTGAATCATCATTATGTAATTATGGATATAAATTTTATGTGTATTAATTTAGTTGTCTGCTTAAGTCTAGGGAGAGATATATCTTCGACAATCCAGTTTTCTTGGTCTACGACATTTGCATTAGACGCTATATAAGTGCCATTCGAGTTCTCATCAACAAGAACCTACTTACTAAGAACATGATAACACCTAACTTAGCTTCATTGCTCGCTTTTTGTGGCTAGCTTTGTTGTCGTTTAAAAAATACTTGTGGAAATAGTAGCCATACTTTTTTTTATTTTTTATATAAAAGTCGATATTTATTGTACTATATTGTAGCTACTAATATATGCTAACAAAGCAGTTAATATCAAGCATGAAATTTATTCTCAGAGCTCTGTAACTAATGATTACCATGCAAGCCGTCAATAATCGATCTTACTCAATTAAACAAACGACCACATATGCCAAACCAGTCTTGCTATAATTTCTTGTTCCGCTAAAGACTTTAATATCCTTTTTATACAGAACTAGTCATGCTTAGATACTACAACCACGTTAGCAAAAGAAGGTTTGCCAGCAGAACTGGTATGGAAAACGAGATTTTAACGTCTTGGAGCGTTTAGAACGATTAGTTGTTGATACACTATCAGCTGTTCCGGCGCAGTCCGCCATGGTACCGCGCTCAGAGCGCATGCGCACAGCGTACGCGGCTTCGACGACGACGTCGCTACATCCATCCACAAATAATATAACAATTTTATAAACATACTATAATTACATAATAATAAAGTCAATGAAATGAGAATATACTGTGTTAGAAAGAAATTAAAATGTCACTTGGCGCGCGTAAATTTATTCGTGTGACGAAAATTTTACTAGCCGGTGTGACTGTATTCTGTGTTAGTTGGATAGCTAGTGTTAATGAATGGCATTCAGGAGCGGCGTGGACTCGGACTATTGTACAAGAGAACATGTCAACTATGAGGACAATTGTTGGCTATTCAGAAGCCAAGCAAGCCGAACTTGACAAACCCTCGCCAGTGTCTTGCAAACGACTTCCGGCATTCGCAAAGATACCTCACATCGTAAGTATAAATCAACAACTGATATACTTTGCGAATATTTACAGTATTAATTATATGCAAGTTATTGTATTAATAATGACTTTATTATGTTTTTTTTTTTCTCAAACGTGTCATTTTGTTAGACATTACTTTCAGTGTTCTATGATTTTCAAATACAATGAATTAAATATTTTATTATTACGTGTATCTCATTCGCATCACAAATTATGTTTATTATTGTTTTAGAATAATAGATATATAAATAATTACTTATTATACAGATTATATAGATAATATAGATATCAGTAGTTATTAAGTATAATTTATTTTTTTGCAGATTTTCTTTTCAGCGCTATTTTATATCGTAACAAATAAAAAGTAAACAAACAAAAGTAGAAAGTACATTAAGTAATAAAATACATATATAACCGCTTTTGAATCATTAGAAAAAAACCTTCTTTGTACCTCCTGATTGTAACGACAGAAAAATAATGCTATATTCTTAGAAAATTTTCATATTGGTTTAATTACTTTTTATAAAATTTTTCTAGGAGTAATATATTTTAACGAAAAGATAAATTCACCTAGAAATCACATACATTTTAGAGCCAGCTTCCATTGTTCAGTAAAAATATACAGATTTAAACTTTTTAACTTTTTAGCCATTTCAAACTTTCCATTGAGGTTTTATTGAACGCATTAGCTTTAAGTGCCTATATAACCTCCATCATATTATTAATATTGAAAAGGATATAAAACTTATTGATTCATATCAGTTCACTGGCATCGGCGCTAGAGTGGAACATCCATACATACATAATTTAAAACCATTACCCTTTCTTTTCTACGTTGGTAAAAAAAAATGCCAGACATAAAAAATACATGACGAACATGTTAATTAGTTTTCCATAGCCTGGCTATATTCATAACCAGATTTTATGCCATCATCGACTATTACAGCGGTGTGGAGTAACGAAATTGGCCATAAACATTTTTTTTTTACCTCACAAACAATTCCTCCTTTACATATAAATCATTGCCACATCCTTTTACATCACAGATAATAAAAATGTAATGAAACAGCTTCCTTTTTATATTATACGGTTAAATTCTCTTTGGTAAAATATTTTTATGGTTAAAAATTAGAATTAGAATGCTATTATCGATTCTGATCGGCCATATTATTAAAATATTCTAATTATAATTTCTTATTTATCCTTTCAATCTTTCTAAAGTTATATTCTATCGATACTTTTAATCGATATTTTTGAACGTTACACTCAATCGATTTAATTCTCAATTTAATTGATTCTTTATTTATAATCTTCTAATCAACTAATATTTCGTAACGCGCTTACAACTATAAACATAAATCCCGACTCTCCCTGAATATGAATTTCCAATATAATATTATTACTTATTTATGAGAAGATAATAAGCACTCACTAACTTTACGTTTGTGTTCATATAATATGCAAATACGAGGTGCATACTGTGATAAAACAAAACAACTATTTCCTTGTGAGACTTCTAATATGAAGAATCTCATTGAGAAAATCGTGTACAAAATATTTTCCTTATAAAAATATATAGTACTAGCTGACCCGGGAAACGTTGTTTTGCCATATAAAAAAATAGGGTTTGGTGATATAAAAGTACTGGGTTGTATGTATTTTTTAAATGGTAAATTATAAAAAAAAATACAAATAATTTCGTCCGAAAATAAGAAAAAAATTAAGGGTGAATAACCCTTACGACTTAGGGGTATGAAAAATAGATGTTGGCTGATTCTCAGACCTCCTCAATATGCTCACAAAATTTCATCAATATCGGTCCAGCCGTTTCGGAGGAGTTCGCTGTCTAACACCGCGACACGAGAATTTTATATATAAGATATAGATTATAGACATCGATACAAAATCAATCGAAATTGAATTTTATAGACGTACCTATTACATAGCTGTATATTAAATTAAAATTTATGTGATTCTTATGATTTACTTTGCGTGTTCGTGACTTGGCTGTTTGAAATATGATATAAGCTTGTAAAGATTTTATTAAATTATATAAAATGATTGTAATACTCATCGTTTTATAGTATACAGTATATAATATTAATATTTATCCATAAATCAATGCAATACAAGGGCTTAGGAATCCGGAGATAAGTATAGCCGTTTTGAATCGATAATCTATGATATTGAAGGGAATAAATTGGTATCAATAACAGATTTTCAATTTTAACGTGCATAGATAGGGATCTAAGATATTACATTAACGATATTACATTATAAAATGTTGTATGGAAATTAAGCTACTAAATAGCGTTGGGTATATAAGGTATTTATTTATTTATTCATTTATTTAAGAAGCATCACTAGTCGTTATTTATATTTATATATATAACAAAACATATATGTATATTGCTTTTCTAAACAATGTATGCAACTCTATGGTGATAATGTATTATTACGAACTTTTAGAACAATATTCTTGTAATACTAATGAGAAGACTTTTCCGTGCAATTTTTTGAATATCTTCCATAAGAAAATTTTCCTGACGATAGCAATAAAAGTACTACAAGTGTGACAAAAGGAAATATGGATTTATTTCTTTATCTAGTTTTTGCCGCCACTTCGACTGCATCAATATTTAAATTAGAAATTTATAGCTGACTGCGAAAACAATTCAACCTTAATGCCGTCAATAACCAGATTTGAATTTTATAAAGTTATTATTATTTTTTGTTTGGTCGCACAGATGAAAAGTATCCCATATCCGTCGTCTGTTTAAAAACAGCTTGCTTCCAACCAATTTTCAGCCCAAACGGTACAGCTGTTCTTGACCTATAATAATTAGTGTTACTAACACAACTATTGGTTATGCATATAGTGAAAATATAGATTAAAAGATTAAATACAATAAAAGACCTTGCATTTCACTTTATTCAGAATTATATACTATAGCAGTTTATTCGAACTAAAGCAAAATCCTATTATAAATGCTGCTTCGGGATCTCCGGAGGCCGGGGGTCAAAAGTCGACCGAACAATAAATCTATTATAGCAACCCAATATGGACTAACTCTATTTCTAAGACGAGAAACGTGCGCAAGCTTATCTTAGCCGAGAATGGTGCACCTATTTTCTATTCTATTTTTATAAACGATCTATTTCTATATCTATAAATTGGAATATGACCTTAAAATGAAAATTTTGTATAATATTTCGTGAGAAGGAAAGTCATCACCTTACTTTTAGGTTAATGCGAGCCATCAACTTTTACTTGAAGGCAGTTTTAAAGTTTTCTAACACTCACCATATAAATGTTGATGTTAAAAGTAATGAGATCTAAAACTTTCGCGAGTTTTATTAATTTAGATGTTGAAACTCTACAACTCATATATAATAAAAAATAAATAAAGCGGCTAAATTTTATAGTTTCCAACAAACATTAAACACTAGAAAAAAATAAAATAAAAGACATATTTTAATAAACTATATTTTAAAATCAATCACTTATTCCATTTCAATGTCAAATTAGTTGTCATTTATCGATCCTGTTTTTCCGAATCACAATGGTTGGATTCAAGATTCAACGATAAATGTATTAAAAAAGAAATGAAAATAGCCGTTCTATTTGGATGATCCACCTTACGCTTTGCCCCTTTTTCGATGACTGTATTGTCCTAACAAAAAAACTTTTCGCTAATCGTGCAATTTAGCCCCGATAGATATTGATGAGGTTTTCTTAAATCGCAGGTGTATTCGAATAAACCACAAATAACAGCTTTGCTCAAAGCCAACATGACCCATTCATCAGTCTAATTGCAACTCTTGGAAAAATTGACATTTCGAATGACCCAAACCTACAGAAACCGAGATTGACATTTAAAAGATCTTTGATTTCATAGTTAATTCACATGATCGAAAAAACATATCATCCCATTCATCCCTACTAATATTATAAATGCGAAAGTAACTCTGTCTGTCTGTCTGTCTGTCTGTCTGTCTGTCTGTCTGTTACTCTTTCACGCCTAAACCACTGAACTGATTTTAATGAAATTTGGTACTGAGATAGAGTTGACCTTGAGAAAGAACATAGGATAGTTTTTATCCCAGACTTTTGAAACGTTCTCTTGGAAACGCGATATAATCGAACTCCACGCGGGCGAAGCTGCGGGCGGAAAGCTAGTTTTTATATATAACGAAAGAGCCTATATCAATTGTAATACAAAAATTCCATTGAAAGTAATATTATGTTTAATACGAAGGGAGCATAATTTTTTCAATGCCCCATAAAGCAAAGATAGGATCGAATTTTGTATTGATTATATATTATTAGAGACGAATATAGAATTATATATGGGATCGGTACGAGATATTTGTTCCGCGTGAAATGAGTCCACGTATTTTCCTTCGTATTATTACTAGTTATTGGAGTCATTATATTTTTTACGGACACAATAATCCATTAATCAATGGGAAGCAAAAAAAATTTATTGCCAGCAACAGAATATAGTATTAGCAAAGATTATTTTACTATTATCAATTGTTATGAGACCTGCGATAGATAAACTACCCATCGATTATTTTCTTTGCATAAAAAAATATATTTAATTCTAAAATCGTTTCCGTTTATATATTTGGCCAAATTTCATATATAGAAAGACGTATGTATACTAAAAAAATACATATTATCACATTTTTTAAATGTTAAAAAAAATGCTCGAAAGGATAAATTTAGACATCACAGTTACAATTACGATGGAAAATAAGTACTAAAAACTATTTCTTTATAACACATATTAGAATATTACAAATACATGAAAATGATTTTTTCCAATTGTTCTGTGGCTTAAAATTTTATGTCTACCAAAATTTCAACACAGACAGAATAGATACTTGTTACTAAAAGTCGAAGATAATGGCATTTCTATTCTATTATTTTACTTGAAGTTACTAATAAGTAATCGTTGATTAAAGTTTGAATAGAGCCTTAGCATAAAGAAAAAAGTTATCGTTAAGTATTTCAAGATCGGCGATATTAAGAGAGAAAAATATGTAACATTAAAAGAAAAATGGAATATATTTATATTTCTACTGGAATAATTCGCTATGTCCCTATTTTCTATACGCCTACCTAAACGGAATTATTTTGATTTTAGTACATTTTATATTGAGTTTTTGATCCATGTATAAGTAATTAAGGTAAAGGTTGATACACACCATTGGTATGATAAAAAAATTTAAAACATAGGATCACAAGAAAAAAATCTTCAAGACGAGTAAATATGAAGACTAACTATGTACATTATACTTAACAGAAAGATACATTCTTCAATTTTCTTTCAAATAATATGGCATTTCACTTCATTCATAATGAACTGTTAAAGTAATAGAAGATAGGAACTTTCTTTTAATTTAAGTTTCTTATATTATTAAATAATTTATGAAGTGTTTATTACTCATTTAATACATTTTTTTATATTTTTACAAGTCTTACCTACTGGTTGATCATTTAAGATCATTTGTCACCTAAAATAATTTTCTTTTAAAAAACTTCAATAAAAGATTTTAATATTTTCAAATTTAATAATGCTTTATAAGAAATACCGTTTACCTAATTCTCTCATTGTAGATCTGCGAAAGGGTCATTTTATTTTATTTTTCAACGTTTGTTTTGGCCAAATCGGTCAAACCGTTTTTTATTTGGAAGTGATAAAAAAAGGAAAAAAAGATACATAAAACTTTCACAAATGTAATTACTCATAATATTATTTTATCATTATCGTCGTAACTACCAACCTACCTAATCCTTATTCTATCATCAGATTTCGATAAAATAGCAATACTAAGGTTGCCATAAAACCAACTGGGTCACGAAATTTAAAAATAGAATTAAAAAAAAAACAAAATCCATCTTTAAAAATTTATCCAGACCAGTATAGAACCTCTTTTCTTTTTAAAATTACAATATTCGCTACACAAACAGCCAGTTAACCTTATCATATCTCATACAAAGTGTAAGTCGAGATTAAAATAATTGAGGAGGTCACTGGGTAAGTTAACTGTCATTCCAACAGCGACAGTCATTAAAACTTTGAACGTGACCAGGGACGCTGTCACGTTCCCGTCCTTAAAGCCAAAGCCTTTTCTTTTCGGCCAGTTGTTTATATTGGCATCACTAAAAAGTTCAAATAGGTTTAAACTCAAATACAGTTCGTGCTTCAAAATAACCGAGTCATTAAAGTGTATCACAGACGAATTTAAATTATATTAGTAATAAATTTAAAAAAAACTTCTCCTTAAAAGCAGTGTATATTGTTTGTATTTTTAGTATGTTAAGGTATGCACACCCCGTAGCTTTAAATCCTCTCAGAACCAATTAGTATAGAAATCTCGCCAACACCATCCATAGATTTATCTCTTAATTATCGAGTGTAAGTGTATTTTTCACTCGCAGATACTGATAATAAAGTTTTTATTGAAAATATGTGAGGTTTGTCGGAATTGAATGCCTTTGTTTGTTCTTCAAGATTTAATGGTTTGGAACATTCTGTGGAAACTTTTTTAAAAAACGTCTTAAGAATGAAGTAAATATATTAAACAGGTAGAATAAATAGTCCATTATAATGTCTATAAGTTTATTTTGTTAATAATTTAATCTACTAAATAAACTATGCAAATAGAAAAGGGATTAAAACAATTCTTGAGGCGTTCGGAAACACAATAGCTAATCACGCACGACTCGTTCATGATACACTTCTGAACTAAAAGGACATTAACTCGACTAATACTTTTACACGAAAATAGCTATAATTACATTGCAATAAAGTTGAAATTCAATAGTTATAATTAAGAAGAGATAGCAGAGCTTTGTTTAAAAAGGTATAAATCAGCAACTTTCCACGGCACGAGCAAACGAAGCCTCGATTTATGCTAATGCAGGGTACATAATCAATACGGTAATGTTTTGAGACTGACAGATCCTTAAATTAATTACTCTTTAAATCCGAAGATCGTACGCATTAACATAATAAATTACCGACACCTTTAATCGACATTTTTATTACAATTAAATTAAAGGAGGTTGTAAATTGAAAACTCTTTTTCTTGCATCATTTATATTCTGTGGAGATGGGTGTTTTTTACTCGGCCTCCTCAACTTTTATGTATCGAATATATACACCGATATGAAATGTATATTTATATAACATTAAATTGAGAAAAGAAGAAAAATAATGATTATGTACTTATGTTATAATAATAAGTAATTAATACATTTCTGTCACGGATTTACATTTAATTTAATGTCTCAAAAGTAGATAGTATATATTCAGGATGTGTATAATTTTAAAATCTAAGATCATGTAAGTAATTTGATGCGCCCGCATCCAGGAATACTTAATGTAAACCACTTCTTGTATCACTTTATGTAATAAATATAAACGTGAGGTATTTATTTTTATTCTTACAATACAAAATCAACTGTTTATATAACTTCCATTAAATATATCATTTAATAATATTCATAGTAAAATCTTTAATTATCTGTCTATTACTTTTTTATAGCTGAATTGGTGTAGTGATTTGAGTGAAATTATGTTTTTTGTTAGAACTAGACTCGAAGAAGAATATGAATTTCTAATTAACTAAATTTTCATCCTCACTTTAGAGCGTTCATTAACTACTTACTTAATTCCGACAATTTAAGAACTCATCAAAAATACACTACAAATATATAGAAGTCATATAAAGTATTTATTATTTAAATAATATTATTGTGATAAATCTTAATTGTACATTCCAGAACCGCACTTGGTATCCGGGATACAAGAGCTCATCGTGGCAGAGAGTGGAAGGCACGTCTGTGTCTTTATATTCTGCGTATTACGACGAGAGGCTTCCGCAAAAATATATACGAATTCTGGCCATGTTCCACAGTAAGTTATTAATGCCACACTATAAATTTAATAGCTTTATTATTACCTTTAGATTAGTTAGAAACACTTGGTCCTAAACCTAAAAAATAATTTAAGTATGACGAATATTGTGCTGCTAAAACATGAAAAACAGTCAATAAAACTCAAAAATTAATTCTTAAATATCATCAATAACTATATTTATATAATTCTAACGAACAAGTAAATTGACAAAACAATTAAAAACTACATTTTATTCATGGTTTCGTATCAATATAATTTATAAATGACATCTTGCACTCCTGTTATCAAACACACCTGTACGTATTAAAAGCCGTGGATAGAATGATGTATTGTCCGTTCAATATCTCAGTACTGAGGCGAACACCTAGGTGGCGCGGTTGACAAGCTTTATTAATACCTGCGCATGCGCATAGTGATGCGTCCGTTAATTAAAATAAGACGTCCCACGATACATTATTCGCATGACGGCTATTACCGCGCCATTTAATATAAACATTAACATGATAAAGAGCGAAAAACATAATCGTAACATGCGTTCAATTAAAAATCTCACAGCGACTTTGATATCTCCATAAAAGTTTTGATATCAACATTAAAGAATTTCATATGGAGTATAAAATCAATAATCAATGTACCGGGGACTCGTTCTGCTGCCTCGTAATTGGTTCTTTTATATTATAAATAAGTGTTTCTCACAGCTTCGCTCCTGTAGGTACGGACAAAAAAGGTATAGATATTTTTTATATAAAGATGATCAATAAATGTAAAAATATCGAACGTTATTTTGTCCTTTATGAATTTCTTTATCGATGTCGTGTGTGAGAAATAACAAAGTGTAGATAAAGTTTTTTATACCATATGAAATGTTTGTTATGATATCTTTGAAATCTTTTGTACATATACATACTATAGATGATTACCATTTTGTTTTTCTCCCGCAATATAATGTATGCGAATGAGAAAATAATCGTTTTAGATTGAACTTATTAACGTAATTCGATTTACGTATTTCCAATTTTTTTGTACATTTATTAAATATTTTTATATTAAATCGAAATAAATACGAACCATAATGAATTAAATTGACACTGCAACTAAGATTCGAAACGCAAAACCTAAAAAGAACATTTGTTAGTGCGTCTTTATGTACATTTTAAGTTAGAGAATTGTTATCAGTTTATTAATTTCTTATATCTTTTATTATTTGAAAAATATATGAAGCAAATATATTATAATATATTCAACGTAATATTTATCAAACAACCTTTTTTTTCTCAGCGTACGTCCTCTTACCCTTGTTAAGTTTTACATCACGTTGCAGCAATATGTAACACTTTCATATGATATAAACTGTAACCATTATTAATATTTGCATAGTGGAATCTTTCAACAAAAAGTAGTTTTAAAATCAAAAGGTATGTATAGAAATACATTTTTTCCAAGAAAATAATCTTGATTTCTTTGTGCAAGACGTAAATTTTATATTTGAACTTTGTATAAGCAACATAACAAAAAGTACAAAACCCTTCTCTCATATGTAGTTAAGTTATTAAAAAACAGTACTCATCGTGAATTGCAAGTCTTGTAGTTGTTTTTTCATTGAATCTTTTAACACTGTTTTACATTGAAAAACTTTTTTCCTCTTGCCACAATAAATTCTTGACCTCGGACCTTGAAGTTGGAGAACGATTTAAGGTTTATATATAAACAAATTTATACAAAAATAAATAAAATAAAACACATAATTTTAATATAAGTCAGTTAAAATAATACCACTTTTAAAGGGCATCGTAATATTTATATATTATTCAAAATAATAAAACGTTCTGAATTGTTTTTTAATAATTTATTCTTGGTATGTTATGTAAAGAAACAACTCCAAGTGTATATGTGATAAGTCGACTCGCATTTGTCACAGTATTGGTGTCTAGGGTCTTGTAAATTCCTTACCGGGAGATAAACGCCTCTCCCATACAGTATGCCGGGATTAAATCCGATCCACAACAATTCCTGGACACGCGAACATTGAAATGAACATCACCAGGGTATTTTCTAAATTTAGATTACGTATATAGTAAGCATATTAATTATATTTATATTAAATAATCGAAAATATTATATGATATTTATTGTTTATATTTTCATAGTTATTTTATATACTTAATGAAGTGTGAATTTAATTCGCAACTAAATATAGGATTGAACGAAGCATTGTAAAATTACAACTAGAAAAAGCCTGTTTTCGAAATAGTTTTCTTTTTCACATTTATATGTTTATTCACAGAAACTGTAGAGATATTGGTAATTAAATTTAATAATAAAATTACTTATCTGACAACTTTGTCTTAGTTATAACATCTGTATGAGAGATCGAATTAATATTGAAATAAAATGAACCCTTACAACGAATTCTTAGTGCACAATGAATACGATCAGTTATAAGTTTTCATTTTACAAATATCCGTATATAATATGTATTGTTTTTATTATTTATTTTGGGTATACAAAGTCGTATGAAGACTATTGAAACATTAATTCTCTTATTATATACGCATACTACAAAGCATGCGAAAATATTTCATAAAATAATATATAAAATATAATATAGTAAACTGTCATAGAAATACAGTAAATGTATACAAGGAAGTACTATCCTGGATGAGAAATTCCACAATCTAAGAACCGTTGTAATGACAGTCCCGACGCCAGCTGGTATCACTTTAATAACTATTATTTTAATACTCACACAATATTACATTATGAAGCGGTTATTCTATAGTCGAAGAACATATTGAGATATTTCAATAACGAATATGTTATATTTACTAATAATTTTCTTTGTATTAAAGAAACTATTTAACGTTATTTTATTTTTGTCATAAATATTACGAGAAGAATTATAATTGTGTATCAATGAATTTAAACTAAATAATTGCATTTAACGGTCTGTCCTTTAAACTTGTTCTGTTGTAATGTTTATTGAAAAGTAATTGAATAATATAAATAAATATAAAGCCATATTGAAGCTATAGTTTTATTTCGTGTATAATTAATATATTTTAATTTTCAGGTCAGAATATAACAGGTGAAGAACAATTGTTCTGTCAGACGCGATCGGCTGACTCGAATGAAGATTCAGTTGAGGTGGTTGCAGCAAAACCTTTGGAGATATGGTGGAAGGATTGGGACAATTCATCCGCAAATGTAGACACACCTCAACTCCTGTCATGTCCTTTGACGGAACCGTTAAGAGGAAGATTCGTTGTGTCAATTGTAACGCAGCCTTGCGATGATCCAACAAATGGTTTCTACTTGGAAGCTAGAGAATTCCATAAATATAAAAGAAATTTCACAATATGCGTCAAAGACGTTAGTTTTCAAAAAGATATATCATACAATCTGATCGAATGGATCGAAACTAACAAACTTCTAGGCGTCGATTTAATTGATATTTATATAGATAGTTTAAATGAAACAAACGAGAAAGTCTTATTGGATTATCGCTCCCAAGGCTTCGTCCGTCTGTTCCAAGTTCCTATAAAATATAAGTCCGATAGATCTCTATGGCAGAGGAGGCGTGATCATATCATAACGTATAATGACTGTCTATATCGTAACATTATCGAATCCAAATTCATCGTGCCACTTGATATAGATGAAATACTCCTACCAAAAATATCACACACGTGGCCGAAGCTTATCAAAAGACTGACACATCAAGGCTTCAATGTCAAACAGCACTCAGCTGTGATAGTACGTAACGTGTTTTTCTTCGATTTATTTCAAATAAATAGATATAAGAACAACAAAAACACTAACATAAGTGAAGCGTACGTCAAACGTGATGACGTCAGAATTACTGATACAGATTATAAATCAGCTGACATAGATTATAATAACGATAGTATTAAGAATAAAATAAATATAAAATACTCGGACAAATATAGGACTGAATGCGGCATGGAATCGTACGTACCTAAATTGACGAGTCACATTGTTAGCTCAGCATTTATTAGCCCTATAGGACGATACAGCAAAAGCATCATGGTTACAAAAAGAGTGCTGACAGCATTTAATCATTACCCTTTAGCTAGCATCGGTTCGACAGGCATCCCGGGATGGGCAGCGCCCTTTAGAGAAGTGCAACTCAATCATTACAAGGTAAATAACATAAACACGTCACACAACAAAACATATTTAATACAAACGTTAAATATAACTAAAACAGCGCAATCATTATAGAAAATCATATAATAACTTAAGTATCTCAAAATGGTTATATTTAAATCCATGCAGCACAAAAGTCGTGAGTAAACGCTGCAACCATTTAAATACAAAGAGTCTAGAGCGGCATAACAATAATTTAGCAAATTCGCAGCGTTCCCAGCACTTTAGCGTTTAAGTAAATAATAGTGTCGTGTTGCAGGAATCATGCAATTCAACTATAGTGGAAGACTGCGACTTGTACTACAGAAGAACGAAACTCGATCTCTCGGCTTTGAGATTAAGCGAAAAGCTCTTGGAAGCGCTATCAACAGCGTTCTGCTCAAAATTAAACATTATATAAGCAAAAATGACTCTTATTTCCATCAACCTTTTCTCACATTAAAATGTTCTTATATATTGATACAATATCATTAAAACCGTACCAGACTTAGTCAAGGTTGCCTTATATGAACTTAATAAATAATCTATTTAAAGTTCTTTGTAAGACAATAAGTGCATCAAAGTATATGATGAATGATTGAATAAAAGTGAATTCATGACGAATCAAATTAACGTCAGAAGAGAACAGATATAAATTTTATTTATAGACTTTCATTAATTGCCTCTACATTAAGGTAATGTGATAGTTTCTGGGCTCAAGTTTTAGAAGTAACTTTTTGTTCAGATTTTAATTTAACATGCTTCAGTTACCTACAATATTATTAATATTACTATAGTTTTTAACGAATTGCACATCATATGTGATATAATTTAAATATAACAAAAAAATATAAAGCAATTTGTTTCAACTGTGTATTTACGAATTCAAACTAAAATTTTATATGAATATTAATTTTAATGTCCAAGATTTAGTTAATCGTGCATAACAAAAGTAATCTTCAATTTTATTATAATGATTCAATTCTTTCCCATACTAATGAGTAATGACATTAATATTAGATATTTTCCTTTTATGAAACATTTTATGATGAACACCGAGCTTAAAACGCTGTTAAATCTGTAATCGTTTATTAATGACTGACTTTTGATGACAGCTTCGATGTAATAAATATATATTACAGAACGCTTAGCACAAGTCTGGATACGCTTAGCACTCATACTAGATACGAAGTGTTTTCCGTTTTTCATTCAATAATCTAGGTGAATATATAATATGTAAATATTTATTAAACAAACACTGTTAAAATTATGTAGTGTGACGATGCAAACTTAACGTTAGCATATACATAGATTCAATGTGACTATTTTATAAAACTTTTAACTTAAACCAAAATATGTTAACCTTTATGTTCAATTTCATTTATTTATGGTTAAAATCCTAAAAAATAAATGGAAAAGTTTTTATAAGTTCTGCCAACATTTATTACTCATGTAATTTTATGTTTTGAACATTTAAACCTATTAAAATACTCATAATTAGATTTAAACTTATTAATTTTAGAACAGAAATAATTTGAATAATAATGTATTTAATATATTGTCGATTTAAAAAACATAACTTAAAACAACTATACGAAGTCTTAAAATAGTAATCTTCTTTCTAGACGCGTTTCTCAACAGAACTCAAATCAAACTTTATAGTTCTCACAATCGATTTTTTAACAACATGAATATAAAATTATCAATGAATTTCCATGAGATTTGAATAACAAACGTATACCACCGTAATCCCAACTTTTGATAGCTCTTTACACGGCATTCGGGAAACAGAACTATTTAAATGACTTCAATATACAGTTTATAACCGCATTTGTATGAACAACACGATTAAATGAAGCCCATACAATAAATACAGATTTAAAATTTACCTACAAGTTTCATAAAGTGTAAAATCGGATTACATGATTCAACAAAATGGAAGTTATAAAGCTGTCAAAAAATTCTTCTCAAAAAACTGATTTGAAAATTTTAAATGTTATTGCTTAAAAAAGTGAAAAGAAATACCAACTATCACTGAAATTGTCCTCTTAATTTAAATATGCAAATCTAAAATGAGACTAAATGTGTGTATCCTTCTTTATAGTAAAAATATGAAACGTAACTATATGTTCGTCTTACCGTTACCTAAACAGATAATAGACTGATGGATTGACTTTTAAATCAATAATATAAGAATGACAAATTAAATAAAATATAGACCTATTGTTTCCCAGCCCTAACATCCGGGTTGAAACTTCTAGTAGTGCCTGCTTAAAACAGTGACATGTTAATAATTACAGCATGCACTAAAGGTAAAATTAAATATTTTACTGGCCATAACTCAGGATTGCACTCACTTTAAATTATTTGTTCTTGACGTAAAAACACTCTATTAATTGTAAATCTGATATCTTCGGATCTACCTTACAATACTTTCCTTTTTTTGTAAGAACTGACGTTAAAAAAAGTTATGTTTGCATCGAACTAACATTAGCTGTTGTATATTATACGAAGTGTAAGTTAAGCTGTACCTAAAACTTTTGACAAAACTTTGATAATCTTAAGGATCTTTAGATGTATGTCTATTGGAATGTAACCTTTAAATTGACAATATAGCACGTAATTAAATAAATAATTATACATAATTTAATTCTCTCATTGTATTCGAAATAAAAAGGGGCAGATATTTCTAAAAGAGCCCGAGGCTGTAGTCTAAACATTTGAAAGCACTTGCATTCTTAAATACCTACTTGAATACGCAAAGGTACCGCACAACAAGAGTAAAAAAAAAATCGCATCTCAAGATCCCGCAGGCCGCACTGATTCATTTACAGCATCTGATAGCATCAGTTACTTTATTGGACATTGTGCGTGCGATCCAAGATAACGTGGTATCGTCGCTACATTAATCAATTACCTACTAACCCATACAATGCGACGATTTTATTGCAACGTAAGCTACAATGAACACTCGTTCAGATATCGATAAAATAGTAATTGGACACCGATTGCTACTAACATTTAATTTATACAATGCTATTGATAAATCATAATTATTACAATTCTTAATGGATTTATCACTGGGTATTTGATTACAAAACAATATAAGTACAACATACGTCCAGATTGTTGTACAAAATTTATTTCTGTTTGAAATATTAAGTTAAAAGTAACGTTTAAGTCGCTAATCTTAAAGACACCTAGGTCAAAGACCTAGAGAATTTAAGCATTAGGAATTTGAAGCAAGACGTGTTACAGTTTATAATACTTGCAAAATTATGTGTTTTTTTGTTTCGCTCATACTGTTATCATATCGTATGAATATGTATAAAAATAATGAAGTAAAGTTAATTAAATGTAATATTTAAATACAGACAGTAGTTAAGAATTATCTTGGAATTCTCTTGATATGATCAGTCAACTTGATGCGAAATACATCTAGTGTTGTTTACAAAGTTACGTATTCCTTATATCCAATCGTGAACGCTGACGAATGTGTCAGCTTTAGTGGTTAAATATTCTTATATTTCTTTGTAAAATAACATTATATATATAGCACTCAAAGTCCAAAGATATCGTTTGATGAACTAAACGTTCCAACTTCAGAGCTTTATGAAATATGGTCCTATTGGCACATGCCAAGTCGTGAATAACTGCTACAACATATTTCTTAGCAAGTGAGAGTTTATATTTTCAACCTTATGTATATATTATATAAGATACTTATTGTAGCAAGTGTCAATTATTTTGATTAATGCTCTTCAAGCCGTGTGTTTGCCCAGTTTTATCACTGTGGTAAATTATTAATGAAAGACAGTTGCCGTGAACACGTTTATTTGTTAAATTTATTTAAGCTTCAAAAGAAAAATTTTAAACCCAAGATACCTATTCAAAGTGTTAAATGACACCTTAATGAAGCTTCAACCGACTTTGGCGTATGTCTCTATTTGAAGTTATATAGTAATTCTCTTTATTGCCTGATGTCATTGTCATAATTTGAATAACGTTACAAATTTTCTGCAATTCTAACTATTAACTACCATTGAAGGTATAAACGATCAATAAAAAAAATACACATATTTTTATACTTCCTATAAATAAAAATTCTATTTTTAAAAGTTCTAATGGTTTTTAATTATACCATAACCATATTTTGATTAAAATTTTGACGTAAAAGTCTCCATGTTAAGCAGATACATGAATTAAATGATTTTTTCTCTAAAATTACTAATATAAATGCACCAAAATATAGACTAATAAAACTGTCTAGTAAAAGAAATTGTAACGGTTTCTGTAACAACACATGCGAGGCACGTGTCATAGATATACTTGTAATATTACAAGTTTTAATATAGAACACAAGGACTACCATTTAAAGACAAAAAGCAGCAGACGCGCAACTAAAATTCAGACTATCATAACAATGTACACTTAAATACACAATCATTTTATACACACTCCAACTCGACAGTAAAAACCACACTCGTAATTAACTAATGAATATTAAAAATATAATTTACATAATCTCAAATTTTATATGAATTTTATGTAAGAATTACGGGAATTAAAATCATGTGCATAATAATTACTTATTATATGATTTAAGTTTAAGAAAAACAGTCAATGCACTATTGAAATTTATCGTATCCTGCGAATCTACTGGCTTCGAGGCTTCCTACGGTCGACGACCTAGGAACAGCGTTAGGACACCTAGGTTCTACCTACAGCATCAAGTATATAAGCGGGATAGAACGACGAACCCGGATGTGAGTTGATTTATGGGACAGATTGCGGAATAGACGTAGAATAATAATAAAGTGGAGTATCTCGTCAGTATGCATACGACGTGCAGTAAATATGATTTATAAGCTATATGAATCACTATTGTAGCTCATGATATAAACTATACAGCTGTCTTATGTTGTTATGAAGTTTTTGGGAGAAATACAGTAAAATAGGCTAATCAAATTAACGCCTTATCATACCATAATTGTACTTGCTTGTGATTCTTATGTTAAATAGTTCTATCTAAAAGATAGTTCCAGAGAAATTAAAAAAGATCGTATAACTCTTTCCATTTAAAAAATAAATTTATGGATGGATTTGATTACCTATTTGCGTTTGTCTGTAGATGAATTTTATTACCTGTAACAAATAATGGCTATAAACAAGATTATCGAAGGTAGAAATACATACACAATAAACTTATTTTCACGTCGATTATTTCCGCCGTAAGAAAAAGGGAATTGGAAAATTTTAATAAAACAAATATTTGAAAGTAACGTTACAGAAGAATTATTATTAATGTTTTAAAATGTACGAAAAAGTGTATAACATATATAAATAAATATATCTTCAACAATAGAGCGTGCTATAAATGTAATGGTATTTTTTTTGTTTGAACTAGTCACGGTACATATATATTAAAATTCTCCAAACTTATTTAGAAAATATAGTCTAATTTTTTTTGCTGTAAATTTAAAATGCAATACTAAATAAAACAAAAATGAAATAATTTTCTTTCGATATTTATAATTATGTTCATAAAATACTACTTAGTAATAATTCTTAAAACGATACGTAATGTCTTTTTTCATATGTCCAATTACGTTAAATAAAATTATTAGCCAAAGATGGCCATGCAGAAATACACGACGGACACAGCAGGCTATCTCGCAATGAAAATGACAAAATAGTAATTTTTTACACATAAACATCCTTTTTATTGGTAGGGTTATTTAAGCTATAAAATATTTAACACCTATTTATATATCTCTCAATTACTGGAACTTCTTTAAACAAACTTTATTGAGTTTTATAAATTACTGAATTTTCTGCGACTTTGTCTCTGTGGACTTCAAAATTAAGCTCATAGAAAAATATACAGGGTGACTGGTGAATTACTATCAATATTTAAGGAGAATACTCGGTACATGATTCTCATTCGAATTATGGAAAAAAAATAGGCACTTAATTTTTGACAAAATTTCCGTATAAATAAATAAAGTTCCAAGTGTTCCAAGTGTGGACGCGTGCGGCAGCGTGCTGATACAACACCACGCCGCCGCACGCGTATGTGTGAGTGTGTGTGTGTGTGTATACCTAATCTGTAGGGTGTTCACACGATGCGTAATTAATTACATAACTTTTGGTTGACTTTACTTAGAAGTTTATTAATATTTATGTTATATTAATTTTTATTTCGTCATATATGATCGTCAAATATCACGTCCTCAAGTATCGATAGTAATTCACCAGTCACCCTGTATAAAGTTTATTACAACAATTAATATGGGAAACAAAAGGTAAAAGAAATCTCTTTTATTTTTATTCTAAACATTTAAATGAAAATATTACTATACAATTATCAAAGTGTTAAAAGAACTTTTACAAGTAAATCAATGTTAAATAGATTTTCTACGGGTAATCATTACAAATGTGGTAAGCAAGTATAATCATTAATTTTATAATAAATGGATAAAATTAGATGCCTTGTCATTTGAAAAAATTTACAAGCAAATTCTATATTATATAAAAGAATATATAAAATTGGCCGTTCATGTATTACTTCATATACCACAAAACTAGATATATATTGTAATAATAATTTGATTCTTTTTCCAACACAGCGTCGTTGGAGGTAAACATGCCATAATGAGTTCCCGTCAGCTTATGATGATGACGGATGAATGAGTTAGTGAATATAAATGAGCTGTTTATATTTTCACTTTTATTTACATGTATCTCATAGTTGAGGCTAAGGTCAATGACTTTAATGCCGAGATCGCAATGGAACTTTTTGGAGGTTTCCAGTTAATATAAAATTATAATTTTGAACACAAAATATTAATTACCATATGTGTTACATATATGAAATGTACTTTTTATCGTTATTGTTCTATATTTTGTGGTTGAAAAGTGTATTGAAAATTAAAAGATTTATTAAAACTGATTCGTTCATATTGTTATATTGCAATATTAAAAAACAAGATTTTTAAATTCTAAGTATATGACCCAAAATTATGCTAATAAAGGTCATTATTGAACATCGTCGTAAGGTAAAAGTGAAGCATTTAAGATATACATATAATTATACTTATACCTTAAGAGCTCCTCCCTAGATAGCCTATATCCTAAACACTCCGTATACATCATTGACAAGACTGATAATCACTTGCAGTCTAAGTAAAGGATAATCTACTCTCTTCCCGTTATCTAACTAACCGCAGGCATTTTATAGTTAACGGTAGAAATCGCAGGACTAACGAACTACCTATGGCGCATATACTACTTTTTATTTACATCAAGCAATACACCTGCTTGATAAGTTAATACAGTTAAACCTACGTCCGATTAAACGGAGAAAAATGACAACACTTCAAAATATTTACGGAATCTATATGTATTTCAATCGGTAAAGCTTATCGATAAGCAACTGTGCTTAATAAGATTAAGTTGTTCATTTGTTATGTGAATAATAAGTTTTATTTTAGTATGTGAATAGACAAAACAAGTTTATTTACACTATATTACTAAAAAGAATCGCATTTATTATAAGTTATTAGAAGTCATGACATTAATGCTGAATTATATAATAATAGTTAAATCAAAAATACCTCTTATTGAAACACTATCAGAGGCGTCTCTAAGTTGCCGTTCTATTTTTGACGTGGAAAATGATTTTAAGAATTTTGCAAAAAACTATCTTTACTATTAAGTTCAGTTAATATTAAATGAGTTTTTCAAAATTTTGTTAGCGATTCTTGCATTTTTTCATAAATTACTTACCCGTACAGCCTACATTGCATAGAATGTTATCTCTGTGAACCATCATATTTTCTGAAACGGAAAAAAGTTTAATTTAGAATACTGTTACATAGCAAAATACATATAAAATTAATTATACTTTCAAATTCATTAACCAATTGGATCATTTTGTGTGCAAGGTCATTTTATTTAGATACATTTATTAACATCTTTAAGCTAATCTACTATTTTAAAACTCAATATTGGTTTTAATTTACGTTTGTAAAAAGAGCTCCTGTATGCGTTCCCCAAAATTTGCATCGCATTGCATTCGGAGACGTTAATATTAAGTCTTTCATTTTTAAACGTTATAGTAAGTGGATGTGAAACGGGAAACGCTTCGTATATGGTTACGATACAATACTTGTGCTTGGTATACAAATGCCATACCAAGTATATGCATACAGAAGTTTATTTCATCTGAATTTAATAAATAACAACCCGCGACTTTACAAGCGATGTTTAAAGTGTCGAACTCGGCTGCCGTCTGAAACGCACACTGCACCAAGGCTCCTGCGGAAAAGTAAGTTAAAATGAGCCACAAATTGTTCATAATAAAACTCCACTTAAAAGTGAAATATAATCAAATTTGTTTAGTGAATTTCGTTATCATATTCCTAATATTAAATAGACACTATAGCTAGAACATACCATATTGATACGTGTCATAATTTATGTATTATACCAGTCGATTTTAGATAAAGAAAGAAAAAATATAGTGATATAAAATTGTATTCACAATTAAGAGACATTGCTTAACTGGTTCCATGGTGTAATGGTTAGCACTCTGGACTCTGAATCCAGCGATCCGAGTTCAAATCTCGGTGGAACCTGCTTTTTGATATATTTTATTTTTATTAAAAAAAAATTACCTAAATGTTATAACCTCAATTTTACTATAATTTTTGTATTAAATTTGTTTTATAAATTAAGAAAAACATTTCTAAAATGATAGGCAATGTATTGATAAGTTATAGAAAAGTATTAATGTGTTTAAAGATATCCTACATAATATGTAAAGTTGTTTCTGTAAAAATATTCTAGTGACCTCCATTCTTATTTTTAACAGCTGTGACAGAAGTCATTGACGCGTCTATACATCTTATACATATCAATACTGTTGTCATGGTAAAACGTACACAAACAATTTCAATGCTACGAATAGTGTAGTAGTTTCATTGTTTACGGCTTATCGTACTTTAAATTTGTATAAAAAATATCTTTATTTTATAAGTTAAGTCGTAAATGGCGGATATGCTGAAAATATTAATAATTGGACCATCTGATGTATTTTCATGTGTACAATGTCATATAATTTTGAAGCAGGATAAGTTTTAAGTTTTTTATGTAATGATTCCAGAGTGGGAAGACATCGATAGCAAATTTTCTCTCTGAATCTATTAATATCGAAGAAGCTGGTACTCCTCGACCGACACAAGGAGCGCGGATCTTAGAATTTGAGCTCCCTCACAACGTTAACGAAAGGCGTAAGGTTCAAATTGAATTGTGGGATTGCAGCGGCGACCATAAGTATGTTCATAACTATATTATTTGCATTTATTGAAGTCAAGTGTTATTTAATTGTGATTTGGTTCAAATTTTAATTAGAGTCTATGTATGTATATGTAACTTTTTTAGATTCGAATCATGTTGGCCGGCAGTAAGAGTTGGTATCCAAGGAGTTATTCTAGTATGTTCCCCTAACACAGTCAATGTTGCTGGAAGAGAAATTGAACTGCTTTACAATTACTTCGTATCCCAGGCTAAATTATCAGCTAAACAATGCGTTGTATTCTATAACTGTTTAGATGATCAAGAAGATATGGACTCTTTGAATCTCTGTATGTATATAATATAATTATTATTATTATTTTATATAATTGTCTTATTAGCATTGTTTCTTACAGCTCCCACATTTTCAAAAGTATCCCAAGTGCCTGTTAACATCAAAACGGGAGGGAACAGATTAAAAATAGACTTTTCAAATTTTATTACATCCGTTTTGCAAGTATTAAATAAATGAGTTCCACATTAAGTTTCATTCAAGTCATACCTACTTACCAATTTGCATACATTCGTGTTCTGAAAATCATCCACTCATATTTTCATTATTTTGTTATATATTTTCACTTGTATACCTAACGCTGAAAAAGAAGGTGAATAAACGGTTCATAATTAAGACATATCATATATTAAACATAGATTTTTATTAAGTCCAGTAGGCTTTTATAATTACAATCTATAATGAACAAGAACGGAAGTCACCTACTATTTATACAAAGTACCTAATTATTATTAAACTATATATATAAAGTATCGTATTGCTCAGATCAGTAAACTATTTACTGGACAAAGACCATAATTGCAATTTAACTTAATTCTATATCAATATACGAAATCATTTGCGACTGCGTTTATTATCATAATACATAATAACACAATAATAATGCACTCAGTCTTAAAACATTTGGCTCGCATAATGAGTACCTTCAAAAATGAACCTAATTCATTTAATCTTTTTTATCATATTCATAACGTCATTAGTATTATAATTAGCCTTATAACGAAAAAAAAACTTCAATGATTTAATTACTCCGAATATTTACAGTATTTAAAAACTTGTACAGAATACTTACTCCTATTAGAATAAAATAAATTATAAAAACTATTTTAGCAAGTCTACAGTTACTAAATCATAATTATCACCTTGATCACATATTGTATGATGTGGAAGGATATTATCGCGTGTCATTACCAGCTAATGCCTGTCGTTTTTCCAATTACCTCGCTCGTTGAAATTTTTCCTGTCCCTGTGTCCCCTATTTCCACCTCTGTTCCAGCGATCATTGTTCCCTCTGCCGCGGAGACCTCCTCTGTTGGGAAATCTTTGGAAGTTCTGATCTCCCTCCATAAAATTAAAATCATTAGGAGGACCGTTGAATCCCATGTTACCGAAGTTATGTGGACCACCGAATTTGTTGTTGTTAAAGTTATGAGGTATGTTCGGCGCTATTCCCAGTAAGCCCGGAGTGGGCCCACCTCTGGGATCCGACATAGGCTGGTTGAAGCCGTGCATAGAGTTCATATTACTCATGTTTCCTATACCAGCCATGCCCATTGGCGGCATATTGATCATATTAATATTACCCTCCATAGGCCCATGGCCTCCGGACATGTTGTTCATACCGAAAGGATTAGAATTCTGATTAAAACCTATCGGAGTCTTCAGTAGAGCTTCTTTTGGTTTAGGTAAATATGAGAACTCACCGTTTTCTCCCAGAGTCACGCCTAGATTAGTGAATATGCTACATAGAACGTTATTGTTTTGTAATGAAGCTATATCAAATTTATCAAATTTCTTACCCAGTTGCTTTTCCTGATGGTATTGTTTTAACATCTGCGTCACGGGCGCTAGATTCTGATTGACGAATATCTTTTGTGTCGAACTCAAATCTTTGTACCAATTTGAATTTTGTAATATCGTTTGTAATTCTAATGAGTTAGGTTTTTGTTCTTGACTAGTGGTATCGATTTGATCTTTAGGTTTCCGTCTGGGATCTACTCGTGGCCCCGTATTTACAACTTTCGCTGGTTTTTCACTGTCGCTATTAGTTTCTTCTACAGACAATCTGAATACTTTCCTTAACCTAGGATCCGTCAGTGCTTGTGATTTCGCTGTGCTATTTCTAATATCCGTGTAATCGGGACGTGGTATATGTATGGCAACTAATTTGTAGTGTATTGGCGGATGACTGTTAATTGAACCGTTTATTTCTGAGGCTGGCGTGTAGTTAGGTATCGGTTTGAAAGGTAATCCTAGCCGTAAATCTATGTCCCCGCTGGTGTTTTGTCTCAAGTCTGTGTCGCCGAAGCTGGGACCTTTGAATTCCGTCGTTCGCAAATCCACGTCCGTTCTTCGACGGCCGTCCGTGGGTTCGCCGTCAATACATTCGTATATAGACACTCGATTGGTCTTCTTACTGGTCGTTTTACTTGTTTCTGTACTTGTGTCTACACTTGTCGGAGGGGATCTTCTAGAACGAGGATCTCTTGATATCGTCGGCTCCTGAGTTTCTTGACTTGGCGTTTCGTGTAAATTATTTTTCATAGTATTAAGCAGCTTTGTAACTTCTTCGCTGATATCTATTTTTGATAGGTCACCAAGTTTACTTAAGACCGACGAAGGTTCTATAACAGGGGGAACCACAGGCGGCGGCGACATCAATGATTTCTGAGGTGAGGATATGGGTGATTTCTTTTTATTTCCCTTTTCTTCGTCACTTGAATACCATTTCTCATCGATCAGTAAATTATTATCTTCATCGTCGTCAGTAGTCGAACGACGATGTCTCTTTTCAGCATTTTTAAATATAGGATCCGGTTGCAGAAACCGTATATCCGTATCCGCTTCCGAACGCAGAGTATTCTCTTCTATATTAGCATTAGTACTACTGGACCCGCCGTCAGAAAATGGAATGACCCTGTGATCTACATCTTTTATTTCATTTAAAGTATTATTTTTTTCAGTGTCTACAGTTTCATTTGAAATGTCAATGTTTTCTTTATCTTTTGATGCAAATTTTAACGCATCTTTTGTGTATTGATCTATATCGATCATGTCTTTATTGCTCGTTTCTCTTTTAGATGTTTTATTGCTTGTCTCTTCATTGATACTAAGTGATTGTGTGTTCGGCTGAAAACGCATATCAACGTCTTGACCGGGCAATTCGGATGCTATCGCTAAACTATTCGACGAAGGCAGTGCTGCGGGCGGTACTCTTAAATCTAAATCCTTTGCAGGAGCGTTAGTACTAGTAAATTGATGATGTTGTGATTGTTGTTCAGTGTTATTGATTAAACCTAATTTCTGGATGCTCATAGTGTTCAGCTGTATGTCAGAGATTTGTTTTAAGGATATACCGATGTTATTCAACTGTAATACTGTTAACTGACTCAATTGATCTAAGTTTTCGATACCTATCTTTGTAAGTTCATAAATTTGTCGAGGCGATAAAACACCCGTTAAGTTTTTAATACTAAGAACATTTGAACTAGCATTGCTGTTTGGTGAATGACATTGATTTTGATTCGACTCGTCATTTTGCCACCTCGACTGCCTTACTTTAGGTGACACCTTGCTCTGTCTTTCGTTGTTAAAAGAACTATTCTGAGACGAATCTACATTTAGTTGCGGGTTAGGTATATTAATATCGAAGAGTGACGGAATATTCTTTACTTCAGCGTCTGTGTTCTCTGAATACTGTTGCATTAATTTAAGTTGTGTATTTTGTAACATTTTTAATGCGCCATCTCTGTTGAGTCTCGGGAAGTCGCCTAATATTTCCTTAGGAGCTGATTCGATGTGTTTTAATAAAATATTTTTGAGTGCATCGCTTAAAGGTTTACCGTGGGCAAATTTACATTCGTCTTTATAAATACATGGAAGCCCTGTGTGATAGTATTTACATGGGAAGTCAGCGTGCATGTACAGACACTTATCTCTTTTGGCGCAACATTCCATTAAATAAAATTTGCATAGTTCCATTTTTCTGGGCGGCTGTGCGTCGTGGGAGTACACACAATCGTCCCCTTTGTGACATTTTCCTTGCATGTAATACAAACAAACACCATCGGGATCTTGCATGGGATGTGTTCCGCCTCGCCTTCTATCATTTTTATTATTTTTATTTCTCTCCCTCTGTGGTGGTCGGTGCCTCTGTTGGCGATGCTGTTGGTGTCCTCTTGAATCTTGACTACTATCAGATTCATACGAGTCCTGTTCCTGATAGCTTTCATCCTGACTCTGTTTTTGTACCGGTGAGGCGCCACGCACGCACATCATCTCCGCTTCATCCATTTCATCTGAAAACTCCTGTTTTTTGCGCTTCTTACTCGACCCTTCCTTCCCATCGTATTTCTTTCTCTTTTTATATTTTCTACGTTCCTCGTTTTCAGCTTCACCTTGAATATTGTTGCCATCGTTTTTGTTCATAGCTTTTCTTATCGCCTTTTCTATTCCACCGGCAAAGTCATCCTCAACCGTATCCGCATACTTCCGACTTTTTTTACTTTTATCTTTAACCTTCTGCTCGCTCTTATTTGATTTCGACTTTTTCTTCTTACCTGACTTAGAATAATAAAAACTTTGATTATCTACTTTTGTTTTATTTTCTTCAGCAGCCGCAGTCGCTTCCTCCGGCTTTTCTTCATTTTGTGTTTCATTTGTTTCTTCGCCATCGCTTTCAATCTCGCCATCTTCTAAATCTTCTGTAACTGTAGCTGGATCTGCCATTTTGATGTCACTGGAATCGAGAACAGATTATGATTATTTCATTAGCAGAAAATAACGTTAATTAAGACTTATCAAGACATATAAATTTCGTCAGAATAATAAATAGTATAAATATAAACATATAAGTGTTTATATTAAATAATATTACATTTAATATATAAAATCATGCGTGAAATCTATTTTTTTCTCGTTTACAGACTTTAATATTACTTTAGACTTTCCTGAAACAATATACCGTGAATAAATTATATACTCAACTATCATAGGAGTGATGGTTTCTTATGAAACTTCGATTTAAATTTTTAAAATCGGTCAATGTTGTTTTAATGTAGTCAACATTCCTTACCTCATATAAAATAAAGACTATAATGACATGAAATTTTTGCCTCAAAACATTTTCTATACTACCAAGATTTATAATGTGCATGTTTTATATAATTTGCTAATAACTGAGAATAAAAAAATATACTCTATAGATAAATGTCGCATATATTTTCGTGTAGCAAAATAATGATAAGTAAACGAGAACACGCATTTAAATAAACTACGATTAAACTAATCCAAAAGCTTCCTCTACTCTCTAAGTACATCTACAATATATAGGGATAATCTTAACTTAGGAACTAATTTAAAAATATAAAAAAATACATCTATATACATATCATTACGTCATTAAAATGGCTAAGACGTAAAAGCCGCCATTTTATTTAATATAACCCTACCAATTTAAGAAGGTTATTCGGATTGTAAATATGACTAATATGCATATCTCCGATAATTGAATTTGTACAATTATTCAGTAGAAACAAATTTTGATTTTAGATGGTTTTCAGAATTTAATAAATATAATACTATCAAAAATATAAAACCTTTACGCGGTACATATGTGTTAAGAACACACACATACAAAAACGGAAACGCTCTAAGCTGACGCCCTGTTTATGTGGTTAAATGTCAATTTGGTTATAATTGACCAACCATACATCTATTTTAAACTATACTGGTGTTAATTATGATTGCTTTGCTATAAATCCGAGCAATATTCGATTTTCTCTATACTATACCTAATATTCGTCGCGACAATTATCATTTGAATGAAATCTCCAGAATCACAAACTAAAGTAAATTGCGCAGTAATGGATTCAACATGTATGGCAGAAATCAACAGACTAACTGTTCATAGCCACAACTTTCAAATAAATTATTAGATACGAATAGATATGCAAGCTGTAGGTGGCCGTTCACATTTCACAATGTCTTGCTAGTAGCTGCGCTGCGTTCTGGCCACGATATATAAATGACGTCAGCCTTCTAGAACGGCAAGATATTTGTCCTTCCTTTTTCGAGGTCACGCGTACAACGCTCACTCACACAATCACAGACTTTCTAGTGTTGGCGTATAATAGTGACCCGCGACTTAAAATAACCTAACCAATTTAAGATGCCGCATACAAAATAATTCGAACTGTAAAGTTTGATAAAAAATACTTTTAGCATAATACCATCACCAAGTCCCCTTTAAAATAGAAAAGATTATAGCATTTTAAACAAAGTTATTGACAGGTCATGTTCATGCACTAAATTGTTTAAAAATGTACTTTAAATATTATCGCTTACACAACTAGACTTGAATAAAATGGCGTACTAAGACGCTGCCATGTTTAAAATTGACACTTGAGTCAATATAAACGATAATCTTAAAGTTTTTTAAATAAAATTGTTCGGCAATTGTGTATCAGTATGGTTACACGTGTGTAGAAATTTGAGCAGACAAAGCACTTAATAATAAATCTAAAGGGGACACGTTTTTGATTATATTATTATGGCCTAGCAAGTAAATACATAATTAAGTGTTACCAATCTTACATTAAAGGAACAATTCACTATGTGCGACTACTATACGCCATGTAAAAGAATTTCATAGCATTGCTGCATATAGACGACGTTACAATTGCAATACGTAATATTATTAATTTCGAATTCGGACGACGACTGTAATGAAAACAAGACGGATATTGTAATAATTTAGTTCTATATTTTAACACAACAATTAATGGCGCTTGTGTGACGTCAAGGGTACCAATCTAAAGATAAAAGCTATTGATCGTTAACTTACTTTAAACAATTTGTAGTAAATACTGCGAAAATTTAACAAATGTTTAATATTTTTTACACAAATTCAGAATTTTTAGCAATCTTTTTTGGTTACGATTTCATGTAACACCTTAATAAAGTTTAATATTAGCTTAGTTGGTCCATTTCCGTGTTTGTAACCAGAATATTTCGAGGACAGATAAAAGTAAAAAAAGGATATCGCCGTAAAAAAATCATTGAATTAAAATAGGAGACAATAAATATTATTTCTTATATATAAATATACAATTTTATTGTTATAATAAGTCAATGTATATGGAAAGTAATAATAGTAAAAATTAAGATACAGCTTACAATAATGCTCATTCATGGTTTTTTAAATCCTAAATATAATATATATAAATTATAAAGGATACAAAAGTACATATATTACAAAAAAACTATTAAATTTTTGTTAATTATATCAATAATTCCGTCTCTTATGTCATGTCATTGTCAAATTGGCAATTTGCGATTTTTTTATCAAGTTGTGATAACGAATTACAGTCAGCACTTTATTAAATGCTCTGTTTGAACGTCTAAGTTGTTATAAATCTTGTGGCAATGAGTTCGAAAATATTATAAATGGTTAAACGTTTTTAAGAACAATGTAAGAATTCTCGTCAGACTTAAAATATCTAGTGCTACATTCCTATTTTTTTGCTATTGATTGTCAATAATGTCTGAACCAAATAATCCGTTTGTGGGTCTGCTGGGAGTAACAGAAGCTAAGTCAACAGAGGGGTCTAATTTTGATCCGACCCAAGCATCAATAGACATACAGAATGTACAAGGTGACGAACAGCTTCTTGTAATTAACAATATAATTGAGAATGTTTTCTTTTTCACTGTCAACCCTAATGCTGCGGATAAAAGTCCTGAAAGGCAATTGGTATATCTCGAAGAACTTGCCCAGGCTATGAACCCAAGAATACATATTGATCTAGAAGCTCTAGAGCAAGCCCTTTTTGAAAGGCTATTACTACAAGACATAGAGCAGCAAGTCATACCAAAAGGAAGTACAGTATTCAAAGAGCATGTTATCCAGAGACAAGTATTTCCATATTTATTTAGCTCGATGGAAAACATCAACAGTTACAGCCATATTAACACACCGTATGTCCAAGATGCTTTAAACAGGATGAAGGAATTGATATTCCGGAATGCTGTCACAGCATTAAAGCAGCCTGCGCTTTTTGAGGGTCAGGATTTTGCCGAGCAACTTGTAGAAATATTACGACAGATTGTTCAACAGAGTCCTACATTTTTCTTGGACTTAGTGAAATCATTTGTAGCTGAAGGTAAGTGACAAACTATTTTATTAAATTAATTTAAATTTTAATGCAGTTATATTTATTTTAATTGCCGTATTCTTATTGGCTATTACTTCTTTGTAATTATAACATAAATTAATTGCTTATTTTTTAAATAAATATTATTATATTATAGTACTAGCTTTTGCCGCGACTTCGTCCGCCTGGAATAGTGACTTCTGGCAAATTTTTGGTTCTTCCCACATAGTTCCCGTTCTTTCGGGGTTTTCGGAATGGTTGAGTTCCCGTAGAATTTTCAGGATAAAACCTATGTTTTTTTTATTCACAATGAAGTAACCTTAACCAACAACATATTTATTTGTCTATTTGAATAAAGATTAATATTATTATGTTGATACAACTTAAACAAATTATTTCGACCAAATTAGTTACCATAAAAACGGTTTTTGTAATTTAATCTTAAAAGATAGACATATACTGTCGCGGACTGTTTTTTAGATAATTAAAAGAGCTATTATTCTTTAATACATATTTTTTGTGTATTTTGAACCGTCTTCACGGCGCACGCAACGGAAGGCTTCAAAGATGAAATAATTTCTCCCGTTTTTTACACATTTACCACTATATCTTTGCTCCTATTGGTCGTAGCGTGATGTTATATAGCCCACAGCCTTCCTCAATAACTGGACTATCCAACACAAAAAGAATTATTCAATTCGAACCAGTAGTTTCGGAGATTAGCGCTTTCAAACAAACAAACAAACAAACAAACAAACTCTTCAGCTTTATAATATTAGTATAGATTTATATGACAGTGAGAAGTAATTTTCAATAAACTTCAATTATTGTACTTGTATACTTAAAAACATTTGCATATATGTATATTATATAAGCTACAAAGTATACTAATAAAAGGATCATTCAGGTTTCATACATTTTTTGGCCTTTTCTGAAAGTGCTGGCCACCAAAAAAAATGGTACATATTCTTAGAACTAACCATTTGAAGCAATAGTTAATATGGCGCAAAAGTTGTAGGATCCAAGATATAGAAGTTATACAAGTTCTATGATTCATCATTTTCGTACATTTATTGTTCTCTGAAAGTGCCAGGAAACATAAAATAATGATTGATATTGCTAGAGTTAAGCTTCTCAAGCAAATCATTACAGCGAGAATGCTATAATCTGTTCTCTTGTACATGTTAGAAACCTGTCATTTTTATGTAATACTAGCTGTTCGCGCCTACATCCATCTAGGAGCAATAACATTTCTGCTATAAGTAGTTTATAATCAGGCGCTTCATATTTCTATATACAATTCATCACCAGTTTTAAATCTACCGACTACATATTATTATTACATATTTTATTCATTTCAATTTTGCTGTGTCACTTCCAACCTTGCACTCGAACCTTTGTACATGATTCTATTAACTAAAGCAGTATCACGATATTTGAGTTTAATTTCAATGAAAATTAGGCTCCTTAGTGTTCACTACGAGACACTAGCGAACCCGACAGACATTGTTCTGCCCAGTATCTGAACGCATCCAACACAATTTGTTTGTTGTTGGTTTATTATTTGTCTAAAGTTATATGTAAATCGGGGTGTTATTTTTATGTATTAAAACAGTGTTATAGAGCATTCTATGTATAACAAAAATATATTTTAGGATAATATAAGTAAAACACAAATATTGATTCATGTATTCTTTTATTACAAAAAACATCACAATTATAGTCATCTAATTATACATCATTTAATGTTATAATTTCATCTTCCAGGCCTTGTGCTGGTACATGTATGTTCTCATACCCTGCGAAACTCATATACCACACGATAGTCATGGTGTGTGAACAACACCCTATTGTCCGTTTGTCAATTGGGCATGAGAAATAATATTGTGGAATAGCTAGTCATTGCTATATAACGTTGTTTTAATATATAGAAATAGCACCCCGATATACATATTAGTTTAGACAAATAATAAAACCAACAACAAACAAATTGTGTTGGATGCATTCAGATACTGGGCAGAACAACGTCTGTCGGGTTCGCTAGTATTAGATAAAAATGACAGGTTTCTAACATGTACACGTGAACAGATTATGGCTTTCTCGCTATAATGATTTGCTTGAGAAGCTTAACTCTAGCAATATCAATCATTGTTTTATGTTTCCTGGCACTTTCAGAAAATAAATGTACGAAAATGATGAATCATAAAACTTGTATAACTTCTATATCTTGGATCCTACAACTTTTGCGCCGTATTAACTATTGCTCCAAATGGTTAGTTCTAAGAATGTTTACCATTTTTTTTTTGTTGGCCGGCAGTTTCAGAAAAGGCCCAAAAAGAATGACCTCCTTTATCAAAGTTTTTTCTAACAATTTTATGTAATATAATAATTCAATTCTGTCTAATCTAATTTCTTCATAAAAATGTGTATGCATATGATGTATAAATTTGGTCGAGAATGGCATATAAACATATCAGATAATCATGAACATTGATTCTAAAAGTGGATCAGTGGAAAAATAAATTGGAGACTATTTACAAATAGCAGAGTTCTTTAAAACTTTGTTTCTTTTCATATGAACATCTGAAATATTTGCTTGGCTTTGGCTACCAACTTAAGCAAAAACAAATTAATTAAGTGCAGTGGCTGTTACTTGTGACTGTGGCACACAGCACAACATTTTGCGAAACTAAAAGAAATTTCCATTGTGTGACTGGCTCTTCATATTTTTTTGTATAGTTTTCGTAAATAATTAAGCCTATCCGAAATTTTTACTAGGTTTCCTATATAAATATATGTTAATATTATTAAATAAAAAAACAACTTCATGTATTTGTTACTAAACAATATACAAGCAAGTATGACATGCTTTATTGAGTTAATCCAGGCCAAAAATGCTTTATATTATTTAGGATTAAAGAGCTTATGCTATGGTGGACTGATAGTAATCAAAGGTGGCTAAAAAATGCACTCTCACACACAAATTCTTCAGAGACACAAACACACACCCACACACATTTTCACACACATACATAAAATAATTAACATCAATATCAAACTTTTTACCATTATCATGTGTTAGGGTTTTAAATAAACTTTATTTCATATGATGCATATGTATTCATAATATAATATTTTTCAGGAGATCATGAATGTAAAAAACAGCTGAAAGATACTATGATTCCAGTATTAAGGAAAATTTACATAGATATCAATAAATCTAATTTGATTAACCTGCCTATTTATGTTCTACCATCTGTACAACTATTTGCAAGTAAGTATTTATTTTCAGACTAAATTTTAACATCTTTTTATGTTATTCAATTCAGAACTATGTGCTCTACATTACATTATTTACATTACATGAAATCTATTTGAGTGAAACTAATCAATGAATATTTCATATATGTAAAGAACAGATTTTTTCCATATTTAAAATTTTTTTGAGTTTATGTTCACAAGTACTTTTGGTAACAAAAAATGGATATTTGATTTTTTAATTTTATCATATATGAGAAAGCTGGTATATTTTATGATTATCTTCTTAACAGCAACTTATTTCGATTATATCTTAATTTAAGGCGATCCAAATTTAGCTCCAATATTAATGGATGCTTGTGAGCCAAAAAATGAAATGAGTGGAAGGTTCTTCCAAGATAATATTATGGGAGGTCTACTAGCATTATCAGTTCTACCTCGCTCCAATAATGGCTTGCCAGATTATTTTGACAACCCTATGGACCAGGTGCCCAAAAATATATTAACTTTTTTACCGTTTTAATATTACCCAACTTTAAAATTAATATAGAATGTTTATAATATTACAAAATTGTGTTTCAGGCTGCAACATCACTAATTGAATCATCACTATGGAATGCAACATCACATTTAACTAATTATATGCATAAAATATTTTTGAGCTTACTAAAAGGTGGGCCGGAATTGAAGAATCGGTTATTGACATGGATTGGAAAATGTTTAAAATTTAATTCTGCTAGAGGAAAGCTTTGGAATGTTCAGGTATAGATAAGAAATATATTTCTCTAGTCTTCAGCAATTAAATAAAAAATATATTTATTTAAGAAAAGTTAATTCAATAGATTTCTTTTGTGTAATCAGTAAAGAGCCCTATTATATTTTATTTGTCTTTATGACTTTTATTTCTTTTCTTTGTGGAAAACAAATATTGCAGTTAAATATAATATAACAATACCCCAAAAAAATAATTGTAGTTTCAATTTGAGTTGTACATAGTACTGCATTAACTTGTAATTAGAAAGTTTTATTTTGACAAAAGAATCACAATTATAATGTTCAAAATCTCGAAAAGACAAAATCTAAAAGATTTTTTATAGACGAAAAAGGAAACATAATAAAAAAGCATAATTTCCACAGACAAGTGACATAGGCATGACAAATTGTGTCTCCGATGGCTTCATGCTTAATCTCGGTGCTGTGTTACTACATCTGTGTCAACCGTTCTGCAACACAGCTGATGATCCAAAGGCACTTAAGATTGATCCAACATATGGTGCTGTGTCTGTAAGTTAAAACACAATTATCAACAGTTTATATATGAATATACTATATTTTACAATGGTCTATTGCTATGGAGACTAAATATTTTATAATTATTATTTCTATATATTTTTACCACCACCACTTCTCTTAAGTTTTATTGTCTCTCAAACAGAAATGAGATTAGTTCATTAGTTACTAATGAATAGTAACTAAACTCAAAATTTTCAACAACCTCAGAAATATGAAAGCAATATGTTGATTTTTTTTTTACATTTATCAATTAATGTATTTTTTTCCAACAAATATGTATAAACGTCAATCCTATAGAGAAAGTATTATTTTTTAACCTCTATACAGGGTGACTGGTGAATTACTATCGATACTTGAGGACGTGATATTTGACGATCATATATGACAAAATAAAAATTAATATAACATAAATATTAATAAACTTCTAAGTAAAGTTAACCAAAAGTTATGTAATTAATTACGCATCGCGTGAACACCCTACAGATTAGGTATACACACACACACTCACAAATACGCGTGTGGCGGCGTGGTGTTGTATCAGCTCGCCGCCGCACGCGTCCACACTTGGAACACTTGGAACGTGTCCACACTTTATTTATTTATACGGAAATTTGGTCAAAAATTAAGTACCTATTTTTTTTACATAATTCGAATGAGAATCATGTACCGAGTATTCTCCTTAAATATTGACAGTAATTCACCAGTCACCCTGTATATGTACAGAAAACATTTTCAAGTACATAAAAAAACTTATGGAACAATAAATCTCTAAGTTCTATGCCGGTGATGTATGTTTGAATAAATTAAATATCCATTTTGTTTAAACCCACCCCAATTTTCCTTGAACACTCCTGTACACACATACACACACCCATACACACAAACAAAGAAACCATAGTCCAGTACATAATTTAATTGTAATATTCTCAGCCAGAGGAGGCTCCTTCCAAGTCTGTGCACCTCAGTCTTCACAGTGAGACCTGCCTACTACCAGCTCGTGAAGCCGACGATGGAACGCCTATCAAACGCCCAACGGCTGAAACATACAACTTCGTCACCGAATGCTTCTTCATGACCCAGAAGTGTATCGATTTAGGTAACAAAGTTATTAAATTAATATATACTAGCTTTTGCCGCGACTTCGTCCGCATGGAATAGTGACTTTCGGCAGATTTTTGGTTCTTCCCACATAGTTCCCGTTCTTGCGGCGTTTTCGGAATGGTCGAGTTCCCGTAGAATTTTCAGGATAAAACCTATGTTTTTTTTTTATTCACAATGAAGTGTTAACTCTTAACCGACAACATATTTATTTGTTTATTTGAATACAGATTAATATTATTATGTTGATACAACTTAAACAAATTATTTCGACCAAATTAGGTACCATAAAAACTGTTTTTGTGAGTTAATCTTAAAAGATAGACATATACTGTCGCGGACTGTTTTTTAGATCATTAAAAGTGCTATTATTCCTTAATACATATTTTTCATGTATCTTGAACCGTTTTCACGGCGCACGCAACGGAAGGCTTCAAAGATGAAATAATTTCTCCCGTTTTTTACACATTTACCACTATATCTTTGCTCCTATTGGTTGTAGCGTGATGTTATATAGCCCACAGCCTTCCTCGATAACTGGACTATCCAACACAAAAAGAATTATTCAATTCGAACCAGTATTTTCGGAGATTAGCGTTTTCAAACAAACAAACAAACAAACAAACTTTTCAGCTTTATAATATTAGTGTAGATAATAACCTTTTGCAATCTATTATTTTATATATTCTGAAATGTTACTTTTTTGTATTAATTTTTTTTAATAAGATCCCTATTTAATTATATGCAGAAAAAAATTGTAATTAGATTTCCATATGTTTTCCCGTAGTTTGTAAATTTTATTATCTCTCTAAATTTTCGTGACCAACGATTTTTGAGGTTTGTAAATTATCGTATAGCTTTTACAAAACTTGATACATACTTAACTGCATGTACGATAAAGACAAGTAGAAATATAGAATGTCTTCTAAATATCCTAATATGAAATGTATCAAAAGGGTAAATATAAATCTTCTGTACTTAGATGTTGTAAAATTATTTTGATAGGTATATTCTATATTTTGACAACATTAATTATAATACTAATGTTACTTAAGCATAGCCGAGGAATAACTTTATAGTATATAAATGGTGTTAAGTACCAAATGCTGACACTGATCCATCGGTGGGAATGGGATATAGATTTTAACATACATTAAGTCTGGGGTCAATTGCTTACTTACAGACATCTCTTAATGTATCTACTTATGTTTTAATTGTAACCAAAGTATAGTTTTATAAGTAAAACAGGTTTTGATTACGCTAATAATAATAATATGTTTATAGGTGTCCGTGTGTGTGCTGAGAAGATGTGGCGTATAGGTCAGGAGGTGGGTCGAGCTCAGCGCGCGCTGTCTGATGCTGGACCAGCCAGGATAATGGAACCGATGAGACAGAGAGCTACATTCCTTATGACGAAGTAAATATTAGATATCTGCTATATTAATAATATGTAAAGAGTAAAATACTTTGCTTTTGTAGATAGTAATTAATTTTTTAGTGATCCAATCAGTGATATATGAAACATATTTTTGAAAGGATTCAATACTGTGTCAACTTCTATTTCCATAAGTAGCTGCCTACAAAGTACCAAGATAATGATATTGGATCTGTTCCTTAAGTTTTTGTTCCTTAATATGGAGTAAAATCTTTATTGGATTTTCCATAATGATCCAATCAGTGATACTTATATTTTGCATATTTTTAAAGGAATTTAATACTGCGTTAAATTCTATTTACACAAATAGCTGCTTATAAAGTATCAAAGAAAATGTTAATTAATCTGTTCCATAAGTATGTATTTGTTCTTCAATATGTAGTAAAATCTTTGTTTGTTTTTTCCATACTAATCCATTATACCAATCGTTTCAGATTTGTCACATTCCGCTGTGGTCTTCTTGAGAAGAAGATGCTGGCCAACCTCCACCGTCTGCAGGCTACCACCTGCACGTGGCTGGTGCAAGTAGCTGCACGTGCTACCACCGTCGGGAATTACGCACCAAACACTATGATGCAAATAGACATGCCAATTACTACCCCACCGCCTGATACATTGAGGTATTTAAAGAAAACTCCCTTATAATATGATTTTGGTTCAATCTACTTTCACTTAAATTGTAATAATTACAGGATATTAAAAGAAAATAAAATATATCTGTTCCTATTTCTATTTGAAAATATGTAATTTAAACTATTTACATATTATGATCCAAGATTTTGGTAAACACATAAATTTGTAAATATCATAATTTCCTTGTATTTGTATATAACAAACAATTTATCCTTGTCTTTTTAACTTGTTACAATATCAACTATTACTTGGTATACAATCTGTTGAATTATAATATCTGATAGATTTCCAATATAATTCCAGATGCATTCCAGAGTTTGTATTGGAGAATGTTGTTGTATTGATAACAATGTCCCGTCGTACTGTGGGCGCTATCAGCGACGAGGCGGACATGGCCGGGTTATTACAACCCGCCCTCACACTTGTATTGACATTCATGGGTGATTCTACACGGACATACAACCCGCATTTGAGGTTAATAATAAATTTATTATTAATTTACTAAAGCCATCTATATTCCAAGACGAAAATTATTTTTCAGGCACTTCATTTTATACTCTATGCCTTTTGTGTTTTTGTATATGGCATTGGTATAATATACTTAGCATTTTTTAAGATGAAAGACAGAAGTTAAAAATGTTATCAAATTCTTTATCCTATTGAATTATACTTGTATTAAAAAAAAGTTGTTTCAAATGTTAATAGTTCTTAAGAATGTTATTGATTATAATAATGATGTTTTCAATAAATAAATGAAACTATCACCCTATTTGATAATATTAAGCAACTATTTATATAAAAGGTTGGGGAAAAAGAAATCCATTATTTTTACGTGAACTTCAAGACTTTATTTAACATGTTTTGCATTGTCCGATTTAGGTGAAATATGCACCATTTTGTTCTATAATTTGTTGCTATTTTAATGGTAGCTTCATTATGCCTCTCTCATAAAAGTCTTGGTCCTTATTAGCGAAAAACTCCAGCAATTGATTTTCACACTATTCCCTTGATGCCAATTTCTTATCACTAAAAAAGTTTTGCAATGCAAGAAAAAGATGGTAATCGCTTGGTGCGAGGTCCGGACTGTATGGTGGATGCATCAAAACTTCCCAACCAAGCTCCTGGAGTTTCTGACGAGTCACTATAGAAGTGTGTGGCCTGGCGTTGTCCTGATGGAACACGACACCTCTTCTGTTGGCCAATTCTGGCCGTTTCTGGTCAATTGCTCGCTTCAGACGGTCCAGTTGTTGACAATAGATGTCTGAATTTAATGTTTGGCCATATGGAAGCAACTCGTAATAAATGATTCCTTTCCAATCCCACCAAACGCAAAGCAGAACCTTGCTGGCCGTTAGTCCCGGTTTGGCCACCGTCTGAGCTGCTTCACCGCGTTTTGACCACGATCGCTTTTGCATAATGTTGTCGTATGTGACCCATTCCTCATCCCCAGTCACCATCCGTTTAAGAAATGGGTCGATTTCATTACGTTTGGCCAAGGCTTCGCAGATGGAAATTCGATCCAACATCAAGCTTTTTTTTAAACCCAACTTTGTGCAAATGGTTTAAAACTGTTTTGTGGTCGATCTCTTACTCCTGGACGATGCTACGACTACTAACATGCCGGTCCACTTCGATGATTTCAGTGACTTTGTCGACATTTTCGACGACGGGCCTGCCTGTGCGAGGGGCATCCTTAACGTCAAAAATACCCGAACGGAATCGACGAAACCAAAATTGCGCGTAATTATCTGTTACAGTATCGGGACCATAAACACTATTCACATTTTCAGCCGCCTGACTTGCATTTTCGCCCTTATCAAAGAAAAACTGTAAAATGTACCGAATTTTCTCTTTGTTGACTTCCATATTTAACGCCGTGTAACTCAGAACTGAATGGACAAAACAAAAAACTGCAAACGAATTTCTTTAGTGCGAACTGTTACCTTGACAACGAGCATAAATTTGAAATTGTTTGATCGATAATTTACGAGATATCGATCACTACAGCCATCTACTGAAAAAATAATAGATTTCTTTTCCCCAACCTATTATAATATATTCAATGTAACCTCTTTCCAGGGCACGTTTGGCTGAATGTCTGGAAGCAATGTTGCCGAACCATCCTGATGATCAACAGCCACTTAGTAACATCGCCTCCTTCTACAGAGAGCAATTGTTCAAAGAACATCCACACAGACTTCAGGTAGATAATCTTTTGATAATATCTTGATATTTGTTAATCATTATAATTTTTAAAGAATTGTTCATTGCTATAATATTTTTATTTGTCAATTAATATTGTCAATTTTTATGTTGTCTTTTTGATTGTTATGAAAGAATTAGTACAACCAAAACCCTATTATTTATCGATTTTCATTTGTTACTTCTAAAACGGTGATAAACAAGTTATTGATGACCCATATGACATGATAATTTATATTAAATTACAAGCATTATGTCAAAACATTTTGTTAATATTCTTAAAATTAAAAAAATATGATATTTTACACAGATGCATTTACATGTTATAAACAAAGATAAATATTGTTTGAAGTATGTAATAGTAACAATATTAAATTGATTTATTGATCTCCAAATTGTCCAAAATCCCTCAATCAATAAGTTGAATTATTAATTTTTGCAATAAAATAAAAAAAATCCTCCAATTCGGCTTATTTTTAAATTTGCGAAAAAGTTAATGCATAATTTTCTCAGAAAGATTAAAATATTGTTGCTGTGTTAAATATAAGATACTAAAGAAATTATTTTCTGAATATATAATTCGTAATATTATATTGGATTTCTTTCAGCTGGTAACTTGTCTTCTGGACGTGTTCGTCGGTATTGAGATGACCGGCCAGAGCGTTCAGTTTGAACAGAAGTTTAACTACCGCCGGCCGATGTACCTGGTCATGGACTTCCTGTGGGGTATAGAGGAGCATAGAGACGCCTTCACGTGAGTACAAATTATATACACACTCATTGACAAAGAACAAAATAATATAATACATACACACACATATATAAAACTAGATTTAGACTACAAACAAATGAAAGTGCACAGGCAGAATTACAGTTAAAATAAATTTCTTTTACCCACATGAATGCTAAGGACGTTTAATAAAGATTTTTGTTTTAGTTCCTTTATAATTAAAAGATTTAAATAACTTTTACCCATTACTGAATTTTAGATATATATTTTACTTAACTTCTTTGTATTCTATTTATATTTTGAGAACATCATATACATTTGGAAATATAAAATCAGGTTATAAATTATCTCGCGAACTTTATTTAAAATATATAGTGAGTTCCGTAATAAAAACTAACTACAACTCACTGTCGTATAATGTGAGGAAGTGAAAATAATATTGCTAAGGAATTAACATGAAATTTTTTTTGACAATAATAATTATTATAAAAGTGCTATATTTTTTTTTTGTTTCAGACGACTCGCAAGAGAAGCTGAGGCGAACATGGAAGCTGTTCATCCACCGATATTCCTTCGTTTCGTTAATCTATTAATGAACGATGCTATCTTCCTTTTGGACGAGGCTCTTGGAAATATGGCCCAGTTAAGAAACATGCAAACGGCACAGTAAGTTCTGTTCATAATATTTGAAGCACTTTTCCCAAAGTGGGCAGGAAACCAAAAAATATATATTGTGGCGTTGTATAGAGACCTGGTGGCTGTTTTGTAATTTCTTTTAGCTATTATAAGTTATAGTTGTTCTTCAGTAGGTACTTAAAAAATATTTATTCTCTTAGTGGACAACAAAAACAAAATAAGTTTTTTAACCCCTGATTTAAAGCAAAATTTATAAGCTATAGTCTTATTCTGCCTAACAATTTCCCAGCTTTAGCCAGGGTCTGCCTTACACCTTACCTTATAAGCAACAGTATGCTTGTAAATCATTATATCTCATATTGTTGAAAGTTTATGCAAGTTAGAAAGAGATTAAATAAATTAATAAATAATATATGACCAGAAAATACTGAATGTATTATTTTATATTAATAAAAATAATCTAATTTAAAAGATGCATAAGTGGAATTCTGAATCCTATCTACCCACTTAAACTGAATGATAACCGCTAATTGATATGCTTTCATCATAGGATTACGCTTTTTGCCAAAAATATTTAGACATCCAGTACATGTTGATACAAAAATAATAATTGCAAATTAATTACAGGGAAGCAGGCAGGTGGATGAACCTGACAAGTGCTGAACGTGAACAGAACTTAGCCAATATGTCCCACACTGGTATGCTAGCGAGGTTCGACAACATACTTGGGCGTGACACTGTACGCACGCTCGTCAAACTAACATCACACGCCCCATACGTGTTCTGTCATCCGACTCTGGTTGAACGCATCGCATCTATGCTGAACTATTTCCTATTACATCTAGTTGGACCGAATAAGAAGAACTTTAAGGTTTGTTACTAATATACTCATAAATTTCAAAAAAAATGTTATGAAACCATATACACACTAGCTGCGCCCCGCGGTGTTACCCGCGGATTTCGAGGATTTCCGGGATGTAAAGTAGTCTATGTGCTATGCCTGGACGTCAGCTTCCTGTATACAAAATTTTATCAAAATCGGTTCAACCGTTTGAGCGTGAAGAAGTAACAAACATACACACACACTCACAAACTTTCGCAATTATAATATTAGTAGGATATACAACAAAAATCGCATAGACATTTTTTTTATTTATAAGGTAACGGTAAATAAGAGATGCTATTCGAATTTTAAAATAAAATCAGACATTATTACAATCACAAGTTGCAGTACGGAATATTCCGTTATTTTTGTTATTTGTTTATATGTTTCAATGTAATGGCATAGACAATATATTGTGTTTTTAGGTTAAAGACATGAAGGACTACGAATTTGAACCTGCGAACACAGTACTGGACATATGTCGTATGTACGTGCAACTCGGGAGTAATGAGAGATTCTGTGCCGCCGTGTCAGATGATGGAAGATCATACTCGCCTCAGCTGTTCAAATTAGCTGAAGATGTTCTAGGTTTGTATATAATTACATATATTATAAAACACGTTAGCAATACCAAACCACACCAAAACCAACGTACATTCTAAAATTTGTGTCAATTTTAAACCTTTATTTTTCACTAACTATGGATGTATATTTCATTTATAAAATATTTTAACGATGAATGTTTTTAAAAAATTTAAGTATATTATGCTAATTATATTTATATAATAAATGTAACTGAATAAAAGAATAGTTGGAGAAAAAGCAATGCAAATAAAGTTAATTTATTATAGTTCGCATCGGTGGTGGAGGTCTCATAACATCTCTCCAAGAAGTGGCAGCCCGTGTGAGCACATTAGCTGAACAACGTCAACGCGATGAAGAGATCCTAGCCAATGCTCCCGAGGAATTCCTGGATCCCATAATGAGCACCATAATGAGGGATCCCGTCATCCTGCCAAGCTCAAGGACGACAGTCGATAGAACGACCATTGCCAGGTATTAAAGTAGTAATAAAATTACTTTAACTTCATACAAAACATTAATAACTATATATGAGATGAAACTATATTTTTCGGATATAGTACGTGATCACGGTTGCTGAAAAATAACGGAAACGTCGTCAGTGTTTTGGTTTTGTTTTAAGAACGTGTAGTATTTCCGACATATATATTAGTTTCATTCAAATGAATACTCGTGAAATTCTTAGATCTCTATATATGTCAGATTTTTATATCATTGTATGTATATATATGTATATTGTATATACATATTACTGAATTTAAATAATGTAAACATAATTATTTTTTTAATATAAATATTATTATTTGTAATAAGATAACTTTAATTTAAAATTTATTTCAGGCATCTCCTAAGTGATCAATCAGACCCATTCAATCGTTCACCGCTGTCTATGGATCAAGTGAAATCAAACACAGAACTAAAGGAGCGTATAGAAGCTTGGATTGCAGAACAGAAACAAAATATCACTAAACCTGATACTGCTACATAAAATCATTTAAACAATGACAATTTACATTTCTAGTAACTTCGGTCACATATAAAATGATTAATTTAACCTTATAATGTTGCCATTACAATTACAATAATTCTCTTTAGTTTCTATTTATTGTTGTTAATTTAAAATCTTTATCACTATTTTATATAATTTTAGAATATCATTTGCTCAATTACGTAACAGGCATTTAGTTAAATGGTACCAACTATTTCTGCTTCATTACTCTAACCAATATAATGAAAATTTAGAGATAGAAGCTATTATGACATCCACTTACTAGTGAAACATGAAACAGTCTTTTTATTGAATGTCTTATGCAAGTTATATAACAGTTAGCATAACCAAGTTATCAAATTATTGAAATTTGAATTATAACTATAGATTACCCTTTTCTTACTATTTATACATAACATTATACAAAAATCCTGTACCTATATCTTTGACAGTTTAATAAATGTTTGAATGATACATTCAATACATTAAACTGTTAGAGAATCTAATGTAAAGCTGAAGAGAATGTGATTTTACCTCAATTTCCTGCTTAAAGTTAGACATTATTGCATTCCTTATATAATAATGTTTCTTTTATATGTGATCAGAGGTGAACTTCAGTAATCATATAATATTTTCATCATGTAATCATAAATATATAGTTTTCAATCTCAATGTGGTGTTAGAATAATGGTAGTAATAATAATAATTAATTTTTTCCCCCAACTGCCAACATAACTATTAGAAATGGCTTTAAAAATATTATTTGCCTTTTGAAATTGGAATTTCGTTTTCATTCCTTAAACTAGATTGGATCGTCTGAAAGATCTTATAAAAAATCTACCTTTAATGTATTACGTTATGTAATTTGAAATAAATGTATACCGAAAATGTCTCATTGTAGTATTCATGTGTCGTGATTTTATTGTAACGCGATCTAAATGATAAATATATAGTGTTTATGATATAGGTTAAAAATAATTATAATAATATGTGTTACAATAGTCTTTCGGGAAACCCGCCTTTCATATATATGGCCTGGGAATGAATTAAGAAACTTGTGATTTATTTATTTTAATGTATTGCTGACATTTCATCCTCGTTTTGTGGCATTTAATTTTAAAATAAGGCATCACCGATAAAAACGTTAATACATAAATGTAAGACGTCCCTGATTCTTTTCGTAATTGTATGTACAAATGTACCCTTAACAATGACAATTATTTTTGTTGCAATTTTATAAATAAACTGGGTGAATTGTTATTATATTATTTACAAGATGTGAGAAAATTTAATTTGGTTGTTCGCTTTACTCTTTTGTTATAAGTTTATTTAAAGAAACACTGTTCAATAAAGCATATATTAAATTGAATTTTGTTTTGCCAATCATTCTCCATACATTGATATAAGAAACCCCTACTGTACCTCTATTTAATATCGACCTGTTGCTTTATTATACGAATCTGGAACGACCAGGTTCACAATTTATGGATGATATATTTTCAGATACAATTTATGTTCGTAGAACTCGGTATCAACCTATATAGAGGACAATAATGACCTTATGTGTTCTGCCTCTCTATTAATACATTATTTTGTTCATCATATTTACATACATAGAAATGATGGTATAGTTTATGGAAGTAAACTGTAAGTTCAAACAGAAACATAAAATCATACTTAATTAGTTCTATTGAATTCTACTTAATTAAATTTGCTTTATTTCGTCCAACTAATGGTGCTCATAACAAAGGATATTTATGATAAGATTATTAGAATCATAGCAACACTTAAACTAAACGTGAAACCTGCTTGAGTCTCACCCAAAGACAATCTGACATGGCGGAGTAATCAGCTGATAATTGCAATGCCGAGGAGTAGAAATAAATTGTTTCGTTTGGTTACTAATTAAAAACTTCCGCTTACTCTTATTTTCAATTATTCCATTAGAAATTTCTATTTTGAGAAGAGTTTTTAAAAAATACTACAAGAATGGCGCGATGTCCCTTGTCATCTGTCAGTTTTATTCATTCATCCATTGTAGTGCAGAAAAAAATGTGACTTGTTTGATAAATTCTGTTTTATTCAATAAGTGTTAGGTGAAGAATAATATCTGGCGTTCCATATTTATTTCTTGTTTTATGCATACACTGTTAACCGCACTACATGCTGACATCTTTATATACACACAAAGCAGTCTTTTATATGGCCTAACAAATCCTCTTTACAAAGAATCTTGGCGGCGTCGGCGGTTTATGTTGTTTCATTGGACATTGATGTGTTGTTTTATGCAAATGTTATAGTAAGCGTGATTACCTTTTTGAAGTGCGTGTAATAATAATATCTAAAATGTCGGGTCGTGTCCGAAAACAATCCGATTGTCCTGTGGGCAAACAGGGCCCTATGAGGGCGACATTGCCGGTGTCATCTGTTATGAAAGGCGGCAGTCTTAAAAAGAACGCTGCGAACAGTCCGACGCTGTCACCAACTAACTTGTGGCGTCGAATATCACCAGATCACGCGCTCTCTGGTCAAAGGAGTCCAGGTGCTGTCAACTACAAAGGTGGGTAGTTTTGTTTTTTACCTTTTGTCAGATATTTTAAAATAAAAGTCAGTATTTGATGGAGCATCTACATAATGTACCCGTAAATGATTTGAGGAGTGCCTTCTTGGTAAAATTTCAATTATAATTGTGGTATAAATCAAACTCCAGGATAGTAAATTGTCCTGTAAAGGAAGAACAAAGAGGAATTTCTTGGCTTTTTCTCCAAATAACCATTGGACATGGATGGTAAAGCTTTTTATTTGAATTTTTTTAGAATACCGTTCTGACAAAATCAAGATTAGATTTATTCAAACAATAATTACCTTCAATATACAGAAAACAATTGTAAAATAATATTTGATTTTTTTTTTGAATATTCAGCGTCGTTTTGCTATAAGCAAATGTTAGGTAGTGTAATGAAATCCAAAATTATTAACAGGCAAGGGAAGATTTGGTTCAAATGTCATCAGACGCACAGCATCTTTAGACACGCTATATCACAAAGGACAGTGGCCTAGGGACTTCTACTTCCACGCTGGTCAACTACAAGTTGATAAGTCAACACAAGTAAGAGCAGTACTTAGATTATTCACTAGCTTCAACTAATTCTAATCGCCTAGATTTTAATTCCTTTTAATATCAATGTTAATCCTTACTATTTCTTTGTATTTTTGGTCAAATATAATTTGAATTAACTTTCCAGTACAATGGACAGAAATATAAAAATACCCTCATGTTATTGAATGATGATGATTAAGTTAGATATTTAATGAGTTAATATAAGTCTCTTATACAAATTTCTTGAATTTATTACTTTATTTATTCTTAGAAATATATTTTATTCTAGACCGATGATGGTGGCGGAGTATCCGGTCGTTCATCCCGAGGTTCAGATGATGATAAATTTGATCGTTTTCTGAGGAGCCGTCTACAAAGACCACACAAACCTTCGGCATCCGGCGATTATTCATCTCATTCAATGAGTCCCGGATTATGTAAGATTATTTTTTTTTATTACTTTAGATGTAGAGTTATAAATTTCTTTGTTAAATTAACCAGTAAGGATTTATTGTGTTCACTAATAATATTCACAAGGAAATATGTAACTATATTTGATTTTATTTTTTTTCTATTAATAAGAAACTTAATAAAATTGATCAAAAGAAAGATAGTGTTTCAAATATTTAATAAACACTTTGTAAAAGATATACATATATAAAAAACATATTGAAATAAAAAAAATGGTGTAGTTAGATGCAAGTTTTGAAATTTTCTTCTATAGTGGGTTGAAACTTTGTGATTATTAATTCATAATATTTTGTATATAAATAACATTCTATCATATATATGTTATCATTTCTTATATGTATATTACAGTGTATTTAAAAAAAATCTGTATAAATTACAAAAAAAAGCTTTTATATTCCAAACTTTATAGTTAAAATTTCAGCTTTACAAAGATTCTTTGGTCATACAAAAGTGAATTGGTCATACAAAGGTGCATAATTTTATTTGTCTTTTATTATTGTAATTGCAGGGTGTCGTTTCGGCACTGGCAGTGTTTCCCTACGACCAGCTAGATCATCGGTTGAAGGGTTGAACCAGGAGATAGAAGGACTTGTTCTCTGTCCGGCCAGCGGTACTCAGACACCATATTTGGATAGACTAAGAGATAAGGTAAGTTTAAAGCTATACATAATAATTATTCTAAGTTCTATCATTTTAATTTTTCATATTGATAATTTTTTTAAGAATATTTCATTGCATATGAATATTTTCATCTAAATTTGTTGTCGAGTTTAAGTATATGTGTAAAGTTTATATTTTGATATGAATTAAATCTTTTACGTTTTATTTATCTAAATTTATAGTAATAAGAGTCTAACTATCTGAATATTACCCATCATACATTATCACATTATATAGTTCTCAAATATCAATAAATATTCTTCATTATTTAAGCCTTTGATACTATTAGTGTAAACTGTATAGGGATAGTGTAGTGTACTGTATAGGGAAGATATTCTAAATTAATTCAAACCAAAAACTATCTTGGTAATAAATGTACGACGCTTCCATCAAAATTGAAACATACCAATGAAATGTTACAACAATTACAACATAACTAGGTTATCGTCGGTAAAAATAACGTTATTTTATATTTTTTTAATCAACAGTTAAATGACATTCAAGGGACAGATGTTAATAGCGGTTTGAAAAACATAAAGGGGGTTATATGATGACTTAAATTACACGTGACGATAACAATCTCACATGACAAATGTTTTAATGTTTAAACATTAAACATGTTAATTTTATTGCATTTTCAAGTGTAACAACAACTTTCTTTTTACCTTGGATATTTATGTCGTTTAAATATCACATGATAATTTTATTGTGTGATGTTATACTTCTTGTGACTTGTAGATTTAAATTTAATGATTTAGGATATATAATAAGTTGTATATTGATATATTTTCCAGGTGACTCCTGAGGGTCATCGTGCTCCTCTCGCTGAACTCTTGAGACGCTCCGTCAACACCCAAACGCCACACGATCTCTGTCACACAGCCCATTCTTCAGGTAATGTTATTATAATCAAATATCTATCATACAACCAATATTACTGTCTATATAAATAAATCTTTCAATCTTATTTACTATCATGCTTTAACTGTTATTAACTTGTTTTGATTATTTATCTTTGTATTCTGTTAATATTTTTATTATCTTCTTATATCTTTACTAATCTTATCTATTGGTGTGGTATTAAATATCAAAACACAACTGGATATAGATCCGCCATCAAGAGGATCACTCTCCAGTGCCGGCTCGGCTGAGCTCCTAGCAACAGGTCTAACATTATCTGTACTTCAGTCTGTGGCACGCTGCAATTAATTATATAATCTGTACAGAATTATATCAATAAAATATATCTAAATAGAATAATTACAATTTGATATTAATGTAATTTGTATACATTTGTTTTTAGTTTACTTTGTATAGCCATAAAATTATATGAATTTTAAAAATGAGATTGCAGCATGCATACAGTCTATGCCCCAGCAACATTATAAGTATTGTGCACTAAAATAATTTTTAAGCATGGGATTTTAGTTTACAATTTTATTCCCTTATGTGAACATAATTTCTAACTATGGTGGAATATTGCCATAATATGTAGACCATGACGATGCTTTAGTATATTTTACAACACCCTACCGAGTTTTTTTTATTGCAACATAATAGATAAGTATGTTAGTTCAATCATATAGGATATTTGTATCATATTTATAGAATATGTTAAAAAAAACTTCATATAAAACACCTCTATAAGTGTGTGGTTTTTCAGATAGACATTTTTATTTTGTAGTGTTTGCATAGGAACGGGTTTTGCTTATTTTTACTTTTAATTTATATAATAAACTGAGTTTTTTCATTTTATAATATTGTTTTCAGGTGGCAGCGTATGCTCATCTCCAGATCTTGATGGTTCCAAACTGGGTACATCCCCTCAGATCAATCGATTCCTAGCACGTGAACCTCCAGATGGTTGTGAAAAGGTAAGGAAATATTTATATCACATAAGATAAAATATTTTTTTTGCAGGAAACAAAATAATCCCATACAGATTCATAGAGCGAGTGCTTTATTTATTACTAGCTTGTGCCACGACTTCGTCCGCGTGGAATAGTGACTTCCGTCAGATTTTTGGTTCTTCCCACGTAGTTCCCGTTCTTGCCGGGTTTTCGGAATGGTCGAGTTCCCGTAGAATTTTCATAATAAAACCTATGTTTTTTTTAATTCACAATGAAGTACTCTTAACCAACAACATATTTATTTGTTTATTTGAATAAAGATTAATATTATTACGTTGATACAAATTAAAACAAATTATTTCGACCAAACGGTTTTTGTGAGTTAATCTTAAAAGATAGACATATACTGTACCGGACTGTTTTTTAGATCATTAAAAGAGCTATTATTCTTTAATACATATTTTTTGTGTATCTTGAACCGTTTTCACGGCGCACGCAACGGAAGGCTTCAAAGATGAAATAATTTCTCCCGTTTTTTACACATTTACCACTATATCTTTGCTCCTATTGGTCGTAGCGTGATGTTATATAGCCCACAGCCTTCCTCGATAACTGGACTATCCGACACAAAAAGAATTATTCAATTCGAACCAGTAGTTTCGGAGATTAGCGCTTTCAAACAAACAAACAAACAAACTCTTCAGCTTTATAATATTAGTATAGATTTGAATAAATTGTGCTTAATATCGGACCTGCCTTTTTATTAATTTTTTTGATTGAAATAAATCTTTAAAAGTGAACACCTATCTTATGGACTGGGAATCGATCTTGAACTTTAACAATGTTAATCAGTTATATGATAAAGCTTCATACAGTCATGTCAACATTTTTCAGGTGAACCTGAAAGCCGGCGAGGGTTCGTATTCGGAGGCAATATCTGTGATGAAGCCGGCTGTTCCCGCGTTCACACTGCGGCCGTCCCTCGGCTCCGCCTTCCAGCCGCTGAACCCGTTGCATCCACCACACTGATACCCGCCACCCGCGGAGGCTCACTTCGCTAGACTGGTCCGGATGGCCTTCTGCTGCTTCGCGCCGCGTTAAATCCGACCTCCAGCGAATGTAACCTCCTTGTGCGGGATCTTTATATGTACCTGGCTGAACCGGTTTATTTTTTTTCTTTTGTCATTATACGATTGGACGGTTGAAACTTTTTGTGCCGTGATTTAAAAAAAAAATATAATGTCACATATTCAATGACTTCTATTAGAAGATTATATAAACAAACGATGACAGATATTTTTGGATGAAATATTGTATTTTATTGAGTAGATTATTTAATATTTTCTAAATTTAATGAAAAAACTCCTATAGGCTACATGAAATACTGTCTTTTGAATTAATATAAAATTTATACAAACATTGATTAAAATAGTCTCTATGTTCCTGTCGCATGAAGTAATTATACATAAAATATCTGGTTAAAGAAATTTTTGATTGAAAAATAATCTACTCAATAAACAAAGACTGGAAACAAATTGAATGATAAAACTTACACTAGTTCTGTTGTACACTTCTCTAAACTAGACATAATAAACTTAAATTTTGTCAAATAAACATTTACCACCTAAGATAAATGAAACAAAGAGTCTTTAAATAATAATACCAATGTGTAAATGGAGTTATGTGATATAATAGCTAGAAGCATTTTTATAGTTTTGAGAGAGTTCAACAGAATATCCACAGATGACAAAATAATTGTATTACAGTTATACTAAATTGAAGAACTTGTAACCGACATGTAACATTTGATTCTATTCTGGTTAATTGTATCTCTTTGATTTAGATATAAGTTGTACTAACCCATTAACAAGTACGTAGTCATCTATGCAGTAGTGACAATAATAATAATGTAAATAAGTTAAATTTTCTATTTGAATACTTTATTAGAATGCATATCTGATAAGCATTTAAAGATGACATTATGTACTTTCAATATTATATTGATAAAACCAAAGTCATACCTACATTTGCAAAAATATTGAAACACGCTTGTACATGTTAGCCATTCATTAGAATATCCTTACTAAAAGGCAATAATATGCCATTATTTGTTTAGTTTTATTTACTGTATATAAGTATATGCTATGGTTATAGTAACAGATACAAAATGAAGAGTGACTGAACATTGGTTTGATCTCAGATGTTATTTTAATTTGTTTATACATTTACATACTCAAACTTTAAAAATGGACATTCTTTAATGCAAGATTAATCTGTGTATATTCTTTTTTTTTTCTTTTGATGATACTGTTATATCTTTAAAGAAATTCTCCAGAGTTCTAGCAATGCAAATGTATCTTCTTAATAAATCTGTAATCATTGAAGGCAAAAATAACATCTATACTGCAAAAGATCTGGAGACATTTTTGTAGAAGAAAAAAAAGAATATCAATCGCTTAATGCGTGAATTCAATCAAACAACTATAAAATTGTTATGAGAGTGTCCATTTTCGAAAGAACTACACCATATAAGCAAGTAATTGAAAGTAGTATTTTTTTTTAACAATTGTAATTACAACTTAATCCTTGGTGATAAAAACAATTTGGACCAAAATTCACAAGGGCAGGAACGTCTGTAATGGTAGGAGTAAAATCGAATTGGAAAGGTTTTTCTATGAGATAGCTTTAAATTATGGGATTTGACATACGAATGTGGAAGAAGGTAGACTGATTTTTTTAAATCTTTACTCGTGCTTTGATACAGGTCTCTTTGACAAATGTAATGTGAGTGATTGAAATGTACACTCGAATAATACATGCTACATTCCCGGTGACTGAGATCTGGAGCTCTTATGTAACTGGTAATTTGTAAATAGAAAAAGCAAATGTTTTGGACTGTATGCAACGCGTTGGCAGGGGAGGTTTCGGATCTGTACTGGGCGGATGGATAGACACGGTATTCGTTTTATATCTTTTGGATAGGAAAGATGGACCATGCCAATTGGATCTCTCGTTTTGGCCAAAACGCATTTCTATCATCGAGACTGATTATGTAGAATGTTGAAAACATAGTTAGATCTGCTTTATTATTTTTTAAAAATGTTTTTTGTAAAATGACGACGGCAAATATATATTTTTGACGGGCTCACCTTTGGAATATAGAGTATATTGAAACTTGACATTGCTCAAATCGAAATTTTTATTAAGAGCCACTTATGATATATGCCGAATTTCTTAATATTATAAAACATTGTGATTGTAAACATCTATGTATTATAATTCATATATTGTATTGAATATATTATAATTTAACAGATTAATGTGATATGTATGTGAATATTTGTTACTTGACAACTGGGTATTGGTGTGGAGTGTGGAGTGGGGGTGTGATAGTACATTTGTTGGAAGTGAGTTGTGAAGTGTTATCGAAGGTGCTGTGTGAAGTGTAGTGCCGGCTGTTACTGGGTCGGTAGTGTTGTTGACGTGCTTTGGACGAACTGTTACACTACGGTTTGATGTTAATGTGACAAAAAAATAAACTATGCAAGTTTTTTGGTGATGTACAAATACTTTCATCATTGTTTTAGTAAAGTATGTATGTAGAATACAAATATTCAGTAGTATTATACAAGCCAATCATCTATAATTTCACGATCATAAGTAGTTAATATGTAATAATAGTCTATGCTGTGCAAGAAAAAGAAAACATTTAAAATATGGAAGATGAAGCCGAGCCAGTATTTAAAATCCGGATTACTGTGTAGTTTCTGTCATAAGTGCAATATTTAGCTGTAATGTTGACAAATATTGTAGCAAACCGTGTATGTCGTTAAACATTTGAAATGTTCCGCTTTAGAAGTGAATATTATTTGTTTCTCCTCAGATCTTGTGCTTAGTTTCACGTTTATACATATTGTACAGTGTGTCAATGTTATAGAAGGCTTTATATTTTGCATTACTTCCTGTTGGCTTCCTCAATGTTAATAGTTATCCACACATGAAACCCCATAACAATATTATGCTTTACTAACATAATACTTACAATATTTAGATGTATGTCACAGGTCCAGGTTGTAATTTAGGATTTATCTTTTCCCATTGTCGTTACCTAATTTAAGGTTTTAGTATGTTTAGGTGATCCGAAATATTAGCTGTTAATAAATGTGTGCTATAAAAGGTACCCTTACCACTTAATTTTATGTAATCCACTGTTTGCAGTGAGCCTTCTACATAAAGTTGTTAGCACATACATATGCATCAGCAGTTGCATGTTAAAACATCATTCAATTTAATAATCGACAACTTTATGTAGAAATGCTATTTTTTTTTAAAGTACATGAAAGATATTTTTGTATGTTCAGGGTAGGAGATATGCAAGATGTACCATAAAAGTAACTTTGCTAGGATCTTAGATTTGATAGTTCTTTTATAGATGGTTAATATTATTTTAAAGTTTGCTTTTAGATGATTGATAAGTTTGTAATTTTTATTACTATGATATTAGATTAAATACTAACATTAAAACTAAACCAAAAGTGCCCATTGAGATAAGTTTATAATTCAAGCAAGCCTATTGTTCAACATATTGTTAAAGAATAATGTTTAGGCGACAAAATTAGTAAATAAGGAAAATTATCAAAGCATTGTTGAGTTTTAGTTTTCTAAAATTGTTGAGGTTTATAAAAAAAAATGTATTTTTTTTTACACACAGTGTTGAACAAGAGGTTTGCTTTTAGAGGCATTAATTAACATCAATAATAATAATAGTATCTATTTTAAGTAATGATAAGAATGGTTTTATTATAGTTTTGTTTCAGAAAAGAAATTCTAATTACTATTTTTGTTTCCAATATTTTATAACTTTACCTGTTTTCATTGTATTGTATCTTGCTGTATTGCAGACATATCCAATATACAGACTGATTTAAGGACTGGCTTTTTATTTTTAAACACTAACATTTAACTAAAACTTTGTACATGTATTATAAAATTAAATTTAACAAAAGTCCAAACATGAAAGAAAACATAACTCGACACTCCCTAAACATATTAGTAATATTAGACTTTTTCAAAATCAATAATTTTCAATTACATAATCATTGTTAACATTTATAATTATTTTAGATTCCTTTAAAATTTTAAAAGACCGTCATTTTTCCTATTTCTTATCATCGGTTTCCTATGAAAACTGTTTTCCTGTTTAAAATGTTCAACATTTTGAATAACATTGTGTTAGAAATGCAACAACACACACAAATATTTGGTATTGGTAGTTAGTTCTGCAGAGACAATTTCCAAAGCTATGAGCTTTTATAATTAAAAATAAAAAGCACATATGAAATTAATAATTATTCATATATTTTTTAGACAAGCTTAGTATTGAATACTTCGTTTCGTTTGTATGTCATCTAACAATATTCTGAGTTCCTCGTCTTCAAACCTTCCTTCAAGTGATGGAATAAGAGCTTTAGCTTCTTCAGGTGTTTCAGGGCACAAATTTGCTAAACTGGCTACTTCAAACTTATGTAATTTTTTGGATTGCAATAAGCTGAAAATAAGAAAAATATTTCAATATCTCTAACAATCAATGTCTGTAAAATATGGGTCAGCTCGCTATAAATATACAGGGTGACTGGTGAATTACTATCAATATTTAAGGAGCATACTCGGTACATGATTCTCATTCGAATTATGTAAAAAAAATAGGTACTTAATTTTTGACCAAATTTCCGTATAAATAAATAAAGTGTGTACACGTTCCAAGTGTTCCAAGTGTGAACGCGTGCGGAGGCGTGCTGATACAACAACACGCCGCCGCGCGCGTATGTGTGTGTGTACCTAATACCTAATCTGTAGGGTGTTCATACGATCCGTAATTAATTACACAACTTTTGGTTAACTTTACTTAGAAGTTTATTAATATTTATGTTATATTAATTTTTATTTTGTCATATATGATCGTCAAATATCACGTCCTCAAATATTGATAGTAATTCACCAGTCACCCTGTATAATAGCACTGATAAATTAATGACATTTATGTCTATTTCTAACATTATATCTATCCATAAGACAACAATAACTATGTCTTATTAACTATTTTACAACCCTAATGCAAGAGTTGACTCTTACTTCTTATCAGTGCCAGCAGTGTCCTGGCACAGGACACAGACCCTGGAGGGGCACAGAAATGACCACACTAGTATCTAGTTTTATCTCAAGCATGGTAGCTATATACTTTGTTAAACAATAAATAGATTTATTTGTATGCACATTTGAAAGCTCGCACAGGGTGCATAAAATGCTAGTTACAGCACTGCTTCTAATGTACAATTCATAAAGAATATTGTTTGAAGAACAAATATATCTAACTTACTTTCTTACTGCTGTTATGGTCTCTTTGTTTTTAAACTTTTTAAACATGTTTGTGTAGGTCAGTGTCTTCATAAAAACTTCAGAAAATTCTTGTTCCTCCTCCGCGGATTCGTTTTGTGCTTTTCTATGCTCTAGTAACATATCGACTTCGGATATTAGTAAAGTTTCGGCATTTTCAAATTCTGTAAATAAAATTTAATATTAGTAACGTGGTAATTATTTGCAGCATTTCATTTAAAGAAATGAATATTTTTACCTTTTGGAAATTGTAAATCCGCCGCGTCTTCTTCTACCACGTCTTGTAGTGGTCCAGACATGTTACGATCGTATTTTTTTTACTTAAAGTAGAAATATTCTTTTAAAAGTACTTAGAAACTTATGTGAAAATATTTGTTTCTTTAATTTAAATTAGAGAACACTAGAAATCATAAATTGTTGCATTGTATTCGGTACTATATGTCAAGCTCGAACAACATTGACATTTTTGACATTTACTGAATAAACAAAATCACAGATTACATAAAACTCAGTGTTTTTAACTTAAAATATGCATTTAATTAAAAGAGATACAGATAATTAAAAAGAAAATCTTAAACTTTTATTTATTTAATTCACTATAAACCACTATATGGAAATGATCACATGAACAAAATTTCATAATTTTCTAAAAATAATCACTTTGCTCGTTATGTTTTAAATTTTAACCTTGTAATTGCTCTTTAATAGGCTTAAATAAATTAAAAATTGACATTTGATTTTTTAAGTTAACCTTGTTCTTTTTACTAATATGATTTTACTTTTTTCTTCTTCTACCTGGCAATTTCCCAGCTATAGCCAGGGTCTGCCTTACTTATGATTTTACTTCTTTATTGTTACTAATTGAAATATATTTCCTACTGGTGTGTTGTGTAAGCCATAATTAAAAAATAAGTTATGAGCCAACCATAAATTGGTGGTTATTTTTAAAATAAGGATTTTACGCGCAATGTAGTATAAATAAAACGAACGTTGCCGGGGTAATACAGTTGTATGAATAAAATATCATATAACGAGTAACGTTGCTGAATCCGCAAAACGAACACCTGGTCGTGTGAACCAAAAAATTCCTGATACAATTTAGGTATTGATCATAAGTTTTAATTACGTAATACTTATTATAATATAATTAAAATAATATAATTATCAAGGTCAATAAATATTACGAACTCATTCGAAATATGTTCGTTGTGGATTTGTACGCAGTAGAAATGGGAGCGAGAGGTATAACAGCTAAATCTCTCTACAATCTACTAAAAGACTTGGGCATATCCAGAATTCACATTAATTCATTCTTGGAACGTACTTCGAAAGCAATAGATTCTTTTCAAATTTTGTAAGGTAGGGGGAGGAGCTTGGACGGTACAAGTGAGAGTTTAACGCGCGTTAGATAGGGGCTCCTTAAAGCTACATCTGGGTCGCAAGTCCCAGGCACTGTTGAAGCTCCTCTCCCTGCAACGCGATGGACCCGGCACCCGCACGGTGAATCCATGGCAGTTTCGTCTCTATATAAGTAATTTTCGTAGTTGTCCTAGAATCTCTGTACTGTGTACTGAATTATCATCTACATATTTAGTACAAGAAAGTATTGTTTTTATTGCTATTACTAAACAACCCAGTCCTAGAACTGTAACTTAATATCTGTTACGGTTACCTCATTAAGATCCTATCTGTACGATGATAATAATCACTTGCCTTAGATTTAGATCTAGCCAACAAAAAAGGAAGGAATGACAGGATAAAGGATGGTCATCTACAAAAATACAGAGAAGCTTTGACGTTGTATTGAATATAATTTTGTCCTGCCATTAATGGTAGTAGACATGTGCAACCATTATAAACTTATTTTTTTTTGAATTCACACAGAAAGCCCTGAATTCGATTTAAACATTTACATAAATAACGACTTTGTTTTATTAATAACCATAGATTTCAACTGGAAAAGGGTTGGTTTTATTAAAACAAATTCGATAAATATACATTAACATATTCCAAAATCCAAATGGAGAATTGTCTCATTATGTCCTCGAAAATAATTAAACAGCTGCATTTGTTTACTTGTAATTATTATTTATTTGTTAATTATATCGCTTTAGCAAGTCATTCGTCAAAAATGTTCCTTATACGGAATTCTTATTTCTTCTGTCTGTCTTTAATAATCCGTTTAATCTTAGTCATATGTAAAGATATTAAGATGATTACAATATTATAAAACCAGGTTTATTACTAATGAAACAGTGATAAAAATTAACTTCTGGTTATAAAAAGTTAGTCTGTTGCCAGGGAATAACGGTTGTTATATAAGAATATTATATAATATACGGTATACCTAGGTATTATTTTATTTTAGACGGTAGATGGCGCTGCCCATATAGTGTGGGATTTAAATATGATATATGTATTGCATTTAGCATTATCAGTTTCTTATTGATATTTATAATGGCTACCATAGGGATGAAGCCAGTGTGAAGTAATTACAGTTTTAGTTTATAAATTGAAAGTTTGAGTCTTTATTTAGCGTGGGAAATGTTCCTTAATATTATTAGTTGAGTAAATAATTTATTAATAACGTTGACATCCGCCAATTTTCCACGATTCCAGTGCGAACGAGGGCATGATGAAGCATTTAAAAGAATCATAGAATAACTTCAAGTAACGGCATCATAAATTTTTCACATCAGTCGGATTAATCCGACAGGGATTTTTTAGTAATTATCTCTATTTTATTTTCCTTGTGGTATTTCCATGAGCTTGGCGGTAAAACACCTAGGGTATTTGAAGCCAAGTATGGGACGATAGAAGAGTGGTTTATTGCCAGTTATTTAATCTACCACTTAAGATTATGTATTCAATTGATAATTTTATTTATTAATAAAACAATAGACTATCAGAGCACAATAATAAACTCTTGCTACTTATGTCATATCTAAAAATAAATTTCACGTAATTTTCTTTCCATTATCGGTAATATAGGTATGTAATTGTCATTCAACGTGTAATCTAACAATCGTATTGCTTTGTTGTAGATTTGAAAAGGGCAAAAATAACACATATAATACGTTCGCAACAACATTTATTTCATATGTACACTCAAATTTAGTTATTCTGTAAAATGTACAAATAATAAATGCACAACATCAGCATTGTAAACCGCAGTCGATATAACAAACGGGCGACTTCACAACTATTACAAATTGGTCCCGATTATAAAGTTCACAGGCTTACAGGATATTTACAAAGATCCGATTAAAAATTTGGAACATAATTATTATAGTTTGTCGATGAAATGACATTAGGTCGTATGAATACTGTCACAGTGACAAATGACTTCAAGGTAAGACAGCGACGTTTTGAAATGTTTCACTCAAACCAACTGCAGTAGCATGATAGTGTTACAAGTTTTTTTTTCATTTACTTTTATTTAACTATATAATGCAAGGTGGACTGATTTTTATATTTTTATAAATATTTTTTTTATCTATGATCCCAAATATCTAAAGTGTACTTTTAATCTAGTGCACGACAAACTTGTACAGATACAAAATAAGGCCGGTTCATTACTAAAACTTCTTTCCATAGTCATTAATTAGGGACTAGAATAGAAACAAGCTAAATGTTATCCAAAATAATAATTAAACAAACTCCGGACAATAAATCGAATTGCGATTAATTTTAAACAACAGTTACACAACTTAACAACATATGCAATTATCACAAGTCACTAGCTACCCAGTAAATGACACATACTGGAGTGCCAATATTATAACTATATTATTATAGTATTATTATATTTATATAAATTTTGATATGATATAAATTGACGGAAAACGCCGAAGCATCATTCGTTATCGATTTATCGATACTTATTTATTAAATGCGTAGATCTTTTAGGATAAGTCCCATCACTAGTGATTATAAATTTCATTGCTAAATGTTTTTCATTATTTTAATCAATTAAGTGAACACATATTTAAGGTGTTAATTGAGCAACGAGCGATGTTACATGCTCTATACAATAAGCTGAAACTATCATTAAGTAATACTGTACCAAATTATTAAAAAACTACAATCAATATATTTTTACGTCAGATTATATTTAATAATGGCACAGCGCTGTTATTGCTTTTAAATCCTACGTCAAAATGGTCAACAGTATGTAATAAAGACGTGTATTTTTTATTTCTTTTTCATAACCATAACGTGCGAGTGCATGTCACGTGAATAGATTACTATGCATCCAAGGTACTTTAACATCATATTTTTCGACGAACTAAATTATAAATATATACAGAAGGTAAGATAAATTAAGTAACTAATTATTACGTTTTAATATCACATAAGTACGCATCTTTCCTACTCCGACTACGTTAGATATATATCATTTCATGTGTATGATACATTTTTTTTAAATAATACATTGACACGTCATATTGACACGTCAGTGTCAGTCATCCGATGTATGTAATATTCGAGTCACGTCACATGAAACAGTATGACTTATAGTAACAGGACTTTTGACCGTGGGTTCATCTGATGGCTTGTGGCGGTCTGTATGGAGGGGGCGGAGTTTTGGGGATTGGGGAATGGATAGGAGCTACGGATGATGACGTCAGAGCTTCATCCAGTTGGCCGGGGATGATGACGTCATTGGGGGTGTTGGGTGTGTTGGGTGTGTGGTCCGGCCTGGCGCTGGAACTAGCCGGTAACAGTCTAGCCGGGTTTAGTTTGATAGCGTCGTCGTATGTCGGCGGCGCCCCAGCGACTGTGTCGTAATCTGGAGGCTTCTGCTGCATTGTCTCTTCATCCGGCATCGATATTACATGGATAGGGTCGTCAATCTGTAATACGAATACATCAAGAATCAATCACCATAAAAACATCTTGACACTAATGCAACATTCGTCCTCATAAGTTTTTATAGAAATGCGGAAAATGCCCTTAATTAAAATGAAACATGAATATGCATAATGTTTTTTCCTGTTTGATACGACGTAATTGTCGTTTTCTCTTCTTATCGCTGTCAAACCTTAATCAGGATATAAATTTAAATAACTTTACGACATGATTTCTATTGACTTTATTATATTATTTTTCTTAGATAAGACTGATCCGTAGAGTGATGACGTCACTTTATTGTTTTTAGACAAACACTAGGTACATTAAACTTAATAAAACTTTACATTGACAATACTTTTGAAGTACATATAACTAGTTTTGCCAACGTCTGCGTTATTTTTCCGAATCAGAAGTAAAACTGATTGGGCGAACTCTATTCCTCCTTAAAGACAGTAGTAGATAAGAAGATTTTGGATTTTATCAACTTATTTTTTTTCCCCAATCGGATGAAAAGTATCTTATATCCTTTCCCTTGTTCTAAACTGTCTATCAACAATATTCAGCCATACCAGTATAGTCTTTTTGAGTTATAAATAGTGTAACAAACACGTTATACGACTATCTTTTATAAGATATATAAAGGTGAACGTACTTGGTGAGTGTCTGGCGAAGAGCGATCATTCTGCGGCTGTCTTGCTGGTGACTGCAGCCAGCAGCACATGGCAGCACAGATGAGGAGAGCTCCGGCCACGATGCAGGCCACACCCACGTAACGGACCGGCTCCGCGTAGTCTTCAGCCAGTCCCAGCCAGTTGATGAGCGCGCCAGCACACAGCAGCACCATGCCATAGCGGTATGGGCGCTGAGACTGTCTGCCTTCATCTAAGGACATCCCTGGAACAATCGAGAATAACATTAGAATAAATAAACCCTAAAGAGTATACGGAATTCGGAATCAGTTCCTAAATTATAGTAACAGTTCTGTAATCCGCTTATTGTTCAATAATATCTCTTCATATTGAGACATTACTGTATAGTTTGAGTGTTGAAATTAATACATATTGAGTCTACTGAAGTTTCTTTATATAATTATTTATCTGTTAAAATCTGTCAATTAACATAACGCTATTAGTATTTATTTATTCATCCTTAACACACTATCAAAAAAAAAAATATGCTAAAATACTAATTTGCTTATCTCTTAAATTATATTTCTATTTTGAGATCCAGGATTACATTAGTTTATGTATGTCACTAGAACTCATCGTTTCACTTTAAAATTAGACGTAATTCTGTTAATGTTTGTAGTCATGGAGGAAAGCGGCTGTCATGCATCATTCTGGGGCAATGACATATTATAACGGGATCCCATTGAAAAATACAACGTTTAAAACGAAAGTTGGGAAAGTTGCGGCTAAGCAGGTTGGATATAAAATTGAAACCAACAAAGCATTAAATACAATCACGACAATATATAATGGATGAGAAATAAAACATCTTTGTCCTCAAATATACAGGGTGACTGGTGAATTACTATCGATATTTGAGGACGTGATATTTGACGATCATATATGACAAAATAAAATCCACACTTGGAACACTTGGAACGTGTACACACTTTATTTATTTATACGGAAATTTGTGTATAAGCTCGAAAGATAATTTCTATTTGAATAGGCACTTAAGGAAATGCAAGTGTTTTTCTTAACCTAAGCCGATGTTTGACACTAAGAATCGAGGTCAATCTGAGCACAATAGATTCTCAGGAGATGTGGGTCAAGTTCGAAGTTTGTCATTCAATGGACTCTGACACGCACCAACTAGACATTCGAATAACTTACAATAACTAAATCTGTCTCTAAATCACCGCTTAGGAACTATTGTACGAACAATGAACATGCAAATTAAAAATTCTTTTATTTTTGAAAGTGACTCCCCATTTGTATTGTCATTATTCTAACGAGAATGGACTGACAAAAAATACAAAAGAGCAAGTAAAATGGATTCGAGTTAAAAAAAAACAAAATAGCAAGTAATAGACGAATTTTTTGGTTAAAAATTGTATTTAAGTCAGAAATTTCGTGAATGTTGAAAATATAATATAATATTACTGTCGTTTCCTATATTAAGATACATTAAAAAAAATTAAAATATATATTTAAAATAAATTGTAATTACGGATAAATAATACAATAAATAAGTTAATAAAAATTAAAAAATAATTAATTAAAAAAACAACTTTACATGAATCTCTCTGTATGTTTAAGCTGTTTCGTATCGTAGCTGTATATATTTGCCAGACCATTTCGCGCTAAATATTTTTCTTATTTCCGCACTTCACAAACGTTCACTACTTTTAAATGTACTAATGTCACTGACTCTGAAAACAGTGATCTCAAAATCTCATACTTATCTTATCGAAATGTTTTAAATAAGGCGTTGATTAAAAATATATGTTATACGAAAGATACAGTACAGTGCTAATTACGGGAATGGGGCTGACTTTTTTAATAATTTTTAAGTTGAAGGAAATTTCATTTAGTTAAGAAATGGTTTAAAAAACATATTATTATTTTGCAAATAAAATATTTTTTTATAAAACCTGGAATAAAGACAGAATAATTACTACATGTTTTTTTCATAATAATTATATTCATAACAATATATTCCTATCAAGTTTTTATTTTATTTTAATTTGTTATAATTAAATTATTAACGAGGTTGTTGTCGACCAGATTATATTATTTCATTTTATTGGATTTAAAATCTTGTTTAATAATTCAAGAACAAATTTTCCATTCTTTATGTTTATGATAATTATAACGGAGCCGTTTTAGGAATAAGATAAATATATAAATACTAGCTCTCGGACCGCAGCTTCGCCTGCGTGGAGTTCGGTTATATCGCGTTCCCAAGAGAATCTTTCAAAAGTCTGGGATAAAAACTATCCTATGTTCTTTCTCAAGGTCAACTCCATCTCTGTACCAAATTTCATTAAAATCAGTTCAGTAGTTTAGGCGTGAAAGCGTAACAGACAGACAGACATAGTTACTTTCGCATTTATAATATTAGGAGGGATTTTTTTGTGAGAGTTTGATAAAAAAATATGTATCAATTTTGTGTACCTAAACCAATCAAGGAGCATATAATTTCATATGATTTTATATTGATATTTTTGGAATAATTTCAAATAGTTAATATTCGAGGGAGATAAATGACGTATACATTACACTATATCCACAATCAGTTCTTATCATATATAAACCAGAATGAGATGAGATGTGTTTGTTATTGTTAATATTGATTCGGTATCAATCCGATCACGATGACACACATTCATAATCTGACCGCATCCATTAAACAAAACATTGTTACCTCATTTCTATTATACAATAACTATATGTCGGGATATGGTATATTGATAAAACCCACGTAAGCCAAGTTACATATTATGGTTCGCCCACGCCACAAACTAAGGTTTCCCACCCTTCGCCCACCACAAGTTAATACGATAACATTATATAACAAGATTAAAAAAACCCCTTAAATAAAACGTATAGATAACATTTTAATTCGAACATATGTGAAATTTACCGGTATACTGACATTTGTATAAGAATTTGCTTATTAAAATTCAATCTTTATTGCATACGTTTTAAATATCAGTTTCGCATAAAACTGGTTCTTTTATCTATTATAATATGCATAACTGGTTTATTGTTAGTTTGTATAAAGATAATATGGGCTTCACTGTATATATTGTCGTAAAATAATACGTAGTCTATTTATGGGATTAAATATGTATTTAACTACGGTTTATAGTTAAATGTATTACATAATTAAGTATATAAGAAAAAACATGTTTTAAGTTTAAATTTAGTTATATTATATATTATAATTATAATCTAAGTAACAAGATTAAAATATCGTTGCAAAGACTTCTCGGTGTACAGAGACAAGAGAATCATATGCTATTTACAAATATCTATAGAATATAGCTTAATAGAGGAGATGCTACGGAAATAGACTAGATAAATGTCTTCCTGAGAGGAAAATATAGTTAGGAAGTAAGAAAACGTATGTAATCTGGAAGACTTAAAAAAAACTCGTACTTGAGATATGTCACTTTGACAATTTATAACAAGTTTCTAGCAAACAAGTTAGTGTTTATGCCAATGTGTATGTAATAGAACCTCTTTGCTAAATTCTATATAACAATTAACAATTATTTTTATTCTATAATTATTAATACAGCTTTCTTCGTCTATCTGTTGTTTTTCACATTAAAATAATAAATCGATTATTATTTAAAGTAAATCGACACTTGAGTAATATTAACACAGATGCTGGCTGTAAAAATACAATGTTATTGTATTTGTAATACAAATAAAACGCCATATTTTATGTAACAAACAACTCCAAAGAACAATTAACGCGGAGTTATAATAATTTATTTATGCTAATATAAAATGTGCATATTACAAGACATGTATGAAACGCTGCGACACGAAAATAATTACGTGACATTTTTTTTTTTTGGAAAATATTATTTTAATAATAACGATGTTTTTTACAATCAAAATATATATATTTTATATATAATTAATAGTACTTAAATTCATAATATACTTAAATTTCTTTAACAATATTTATCTAAATTTTTACTATTAGGTAGTTATGTATGTATATAATATATAGGTATATATGTTTATTTAAATGTAATGAGACATTCATGAAAATCCAATTCCGATAATATGAAACGTTATTCAAGGAACAAGTACAGTGAGTACTGTATAGTTATTAGAATATAATAATTATAGCATATCTGCGAATTTTCAATAATTCACAGTCGACACAAGTCAGAAAACGTTTAAGTAAAACAAATTTTATACAAATATACTTCTAATAGTGATTCTAAATGGTAATAATTATTGGCCTGCTTTGTACTCTATGTGGTAATAAAGTACAGTAGGATGCGGGCTTCCGCCTACTCTTGTGTTTCTATGGCTACATTATTTTATAGGAAATAATATAACAATTGATTGATTGAAGTGTTTGAACACATCTTAGATATAAAAACTGAATGAAAACCGAATAATATCTGGCATATTTGGTTGAGATTTGATCTACAAAAAAAAAAAAAACTATGGTATTTAAAAATAGAATAAAATTGGAGAATAAAAAAAGAGTATTTTAATGGTTATTATATACGGGGGTCGGTTTCGAACAATGGCTATTTTTGTGTCAATTACCAGTTAAGTAGATCGTCGGTGCAATAAATTGTTAAAGAAGTACCGGTGTGCCCACCGACTGTATACCCGTACACCGTGAAACTCTTTAGGGAGACCGTCCGCGCAGAACCAGCGACGTGCTTTTTCGTTACGTGCTAAATGATCGTAATATTTTTAGTTTTGCCCATTTACAATTGTATAGCACACCTACTTTTTAAGCTAAGCTAAGTATTGAGACACTACAGACAGACGGTGATGGAAAACATCGTGAGGAAACCTGGACTTATAATTTCATAGTATAAGTTTGAAATCGGCAACCCGCCTTGAGCAATGCGGGATTAATGCTCCAACCTTCTCCATATGAGAAAAGGTCTTTGTTCAGCAGTGGGCTCTGATAGGCTGATCATGATGATGGGAATGACCTGCTTTTGATTCTGATTTTATTTTATATTCCCTATTTTTTTATTCGATCTTCTTTAGCGTGTTAGTATGACAGTTACTATATAATTGATGTGTTACAAGAATGTGAATCGAACCCAAAGCATTGAACAACATCGCTTCGAGCGTTCCATATAATAGAGCTATACGAATCCTTGAATTAATAATTGATCAATATAAAAAAATATATAGGCAAGATAATATTTTTCGCCAATATGACATTCT